ATCCAACATTATATTTTTTAATTATTGCAACAAATAAAGGCAACTATTGTGCAATTAACCAAAAATCAACATTATATTTTAATTATTGCTAACAAATAAAGGCAACTATTGTGCAATTAAAAAAATCCAACATTATATTTTTTTATTGCTGGAAAAATAAACCTAAAATTAACCAAACTCAACATTATATTTTTAATTATTGCAACAAATAAAAAACAACTATTGTGCAATTAACCAAAATCCAACATTATATTTTTAATTATTGCTAACAAATAAAAGCAACTATTTTGCAATTAACCAAACTCCAACATTATATTTTTTAATTATTGCTAACAAATAAAAACTGGCTATTGTACAATTAACCAAACTCAACATTATATTTTAATTATTGCTAACAAATAAAGGCAACTATTGTTTATTAACAAACTCCAACATTATATTTTTTTAATAACAAATAAAAAAGGCAACTATTGAATTAACCAAAATCAACATTATATTTTTTAATTATTAAGTAAAGGCAACTATTATTTAACCAAAATCAACATTATATTTTTAATTATTGCTAACAAATAAAGTATTGTGCAATTAACCAAAATCCAACATTATAAACAAATAAAGGCAACTATTGTGCAGGAAAGGCAACTATTGTGCAATTAACCAAAATCAACATTATATTTTTAATTATTGCCAACAAATAAAAAACTATTGTGCAATTAACCAAACTCCAACATTATATTTTTAATTATTAAAAGGCAAAAATAACAAATAACATTATATTTTTTAATTATTGCTAACAAATAAAGGCAAAATTGTGCAATTAACAAAATCCAACATTATATTTTTAATTAAAGGCAACTATTGTGCAATTAACCAAAATCAACATTATATTTTTTAATTATTGCCAACTATTGTGCAATTAACCAAAATCCAAATTATTTTTAATTATTACAACAAATAAAGGCAACTATTGTGCAATTAACCAAAAATCAACATTATAAACAAATAAAGGCAACTATTATATATTTTAATTATTGCAACTATTGTGCAATTAAAAATCAAATTATATTTTTAATTATTGCTAACAAATAAAGGCAACTATTGTGCAATTAACTCCAACATTATATTTTTAATTATTGCTAACAAATAAAAAGGCAACTATTGTGCAATTAACCAAAATCCAACATTATATTTTTTAATTATTGCTAACAAATTTAACATTATATTTTTTAATTATTGCTAACAAATAAAGGCAACTATTGTGCAATTAACCAAACTCCAACATTATATTTTAATTATTGCAGACAAATAAAGGCAACTATTGTGCAAAAAATCAACATTATATTTTTAATTATTGGAACAAATAAAAGGCAACTATTGTAATTAACCAAACTCAACATTATATTTTTAATTATTGCTAACAAATAAAAACAACTATTGTGCAATTAACCAAACTCCAACATTATATTTTTAATTATTGCTAACAAATAAAGGCAACTATTGTGCAATTAACCAAACTCCAACATTATATTTTTAATTATTGCTAACAAATAAAGGCAACTATTGTGCAATTAACCAAACTCCAACATTATATTTTTAATTATTGCTAACAAATAAAGGCAACTATTGTGCAATTAACCAAACTCCAACATTATATTTTAATTATTGCTAACAAATAAAGGCAACTATTGTGCAATTAACCAAACTCCAACATTATATTTTTAATTATTGCTAACAAATAAAGGCAATTAACCAAACTTATTTTTTAATTATTGCTAACAAATAAAAGTCAACTATTGTGCAATTAAACAAAATATTGTGCCAAACTCATTATATTTTTAATTATTGCTAACAAATAAAGTCAACTATTGTGCAATTAACCAAACTCCAACATTATATTTTTTTAATTATTGCTAACAAATAAAGGCAACTATTGTGCAATTAACCAAACTCCAACATTATATTTTTATTTTAATTATTGTGCAATTAACCAAACTCCAACATTAATTTTAATTATAAAAATAAAGGCAACTATTGTGCAATTAACCAAAATCCAACATTATATTTTTTAATTATTGCTAACAAATAAAGGCAACTAACAAAACAAATTTTTAATTATTGCAACTAAAGGCAACTTTGTGCAATTAACCAAAATCCAACATTATATTTTTATTGTGCAGTTAACCAAAATCAATTATTTTTTTAATTATTGCTAACAAATAAATTTTTAATTATTGCAAAATAAAGGCTATTATATTTTTAATTATTGCAAATAAAGGCAACTTTGTGCAATTAACCAAAATCCAACATTATATTTTTAATTATTTAAACCAAAACAAATAAAGTATTGTGCAATTATCAACATTAATTTTTAATTAAACAAATAAAGGCAACTATTGTGCAATTAACCAAACTCAACATTTATTTTTAATTATTGCTAACAAATAAAAGGCAACTATTGTGCAATTAACCAAAAATCCAACATTATATTTTTAATTATTGCTAATTAAATTTGTAACTATTGTTAATTAACCAAAATCCAACATTATATTTTTTAATTATTGTTAACAAATAAAAGCAACTATTGTGCAATTAACCAAATCCAACATTAATGTTACAAATAAAGGTTGCTTTGTGGAAAATAATTATATTTTAATTAGGAAATAAATAAAGATTTGGAATATATAAAACAAATTAATTTTTGATTCTAAACTTAAAAGGAATTGTGCAATGGTTAAGATTGAAGTTATTGGGGGGTGCCTCCTCTTGGGAGTCTGTTCCACATTTCTTGGAAAGTAGCTGTCTGAGTGGAATTTCCTTCTTAGCAATGAAACATGAAAAGGATGAATATGATTTTAACCCTGTGTATATGTGGTATAATCGGTTTTAGCTGTTAAGGTCTGAATTGGTTGAACTAAGGTCTGTGGCTCGTTTGCCTTCTACTCTTCTGTAATTAACAGGACTCTAGTACAAAATTTTTGAATATACATGTTTACAGTCTATAAAAATTTATGGACTAAATGAGAATAAGTAGATATAAGGAGGAGAAATAATAATAATAATAATAATAATAAAAGCAACAAATAAAAAAATGACCTGATGCTACACCAGGCATAGTTTTCGTGGTTTCTAATCTTGATTCAATGGAGTGTTAAAATGAGCATGTTTGTCTTCTTGAATTAACATGAGTTACAGTAAATATTTTGTTTAGTACCTCATATTTGTTGGTTAGTTGCCTGATCATATACAGTTGGGCATGACACCTGGGGTCCCAACACACTTTGAATCTCTGTTCATGAACCGTAGTATCATAGCTTCCCTCTGTCTTTCTATAAATAATTTCATGGTAATTGTTCTGATGAGCTTTCTTCTTTTGTACCTAGACTTAATGAATTTAAATGCAGTACTAGATTGGCGGCAAGGTCTTATCATTTTACAATTGAAATGGCTATATGTAACTGTATATTATATGTTAACTGTTTCTTCTATCACACATCTTTCTTGTGAAACTCTCTTCTGGCTTCTTGCTTTCCAATCAACTTTGATCTTCAAAAATTTAAATGCAATGTCAATCATTATCTTCTTAATTCTTGTTCTTTTATTGTTCTCTCTCCTTAATTAGTGTTGTTTTTCTCATATTCTGTAACCTTCAGTTGCCACTTGCATCTTAGAGTCTTTATTATCTTGCTTGGGGTGAAAATGATTAAAAAAAAACAGTAGTGGGGAGCATCATGGCATGGTATTAAGAGGCTTTTCTTTTCTTTTTTGTTTTAAGTTTAAATAATGAGGCAGACAAGACAATGTGGGAATCACACCTGGACATTTAGGAACACTCTTCAATGAGAGATTCTGAGCAGACTGGGTTACCCTTATCAGACTGCATGTCATGATGGGTATAATTAGCTTTGTTAGTAACTCTGTATCACTTTGTTGGAATGCTGGTCTCACACATAATAAAAATAATAATAATGAGGAATATCTGTACTATGATAAAAAACAGAAGAAAATATATACAGGTATACCTCACCCAACATAGTTAATTGGTTCCAGAGGTCACGATTTAGGTTGAAAAATGACAAGTCGAAATAATTACACTATAAACTGTAAATAAGCACTCCCTATTTGCTATTACAGTATTTATATGTATGTACATTATGCTGAATAAAATAATTAATTTCCACCTTATCTTCTAGCCTTATGCTTAGCATTAGCACTTGCACTGGGACTTTTCTTCAGAACCATGGGCAAAAATGTATTTTAAGTCACAATTGAAATTTAATTGAAAGAACATCAATGGAAGAGCACAGATGTAAACAAGTCTGAATTCAAAATCGGTGTTGGAGCGAAAAACAATGCATGAGTACCACCTGTTGGTAGGAATTTGAAATAAGAACATCTGCTGAACATACTTTATTATGATAATTTTATGATATATATATATATATATAATATTATTTTTAGATTTATTTAAATATGATTTTATATGTGTTTATTGTTATTTTAGTGTTTTGATGTTTCTAATATTTTTTAACAGCTGACATAAACTCAAGTAAAATGACCTAAAGCTAGTTTTATTTTTCCATATAATATTTAAGAAAAACTGATATATCTTTGAAAATGACTTAACTCGAAATGACTTAAGCAGAGGTATTACTGTAAAGGAATATTCATCAAATATTAATAATCATGACAATAGTTGATCACTGAAATTCAATTGATTATTGCTGTTAGTGCTATGTTTTTTTTTTAAATATAATAAATATATCAATGAACTGCAGTATGTTGTAGAATTAAGCCTAGTATAGACATTGCCTCTTTTTGTTATTCATTTCATGATTATGCATTCGATGCAGTCATATTCTGAACTTAGTTGGTCAGATTAAACCACTGATCCACCAGTCTGTTAATCTACCATATCCAAACAGTATAGAAACCAGTTTAGATAAATGTTTTGCCAAGAGTGATCATTATGGCTGCAACATCTGCTGATAAATTAATATTAGATGCTATGTTTCTCTTCTCATTTGAAACCAAATACTTCAATAAATACAACACTAGTAAACATCCGACATAGGTAAACTATCAATACACAAAGTTGACCTCTTTTAGAAATTTATCACTAGTCCATTGCTTCTGTTAGTTTTGCCTCAAAATGTGTTTAGATTACAAGATAGAGTTTGAAATAAGTGTTTCTGTTTATCTTTTAACTCACTAAGGAGTTGTCAGAATCACATTCACAAATGTTTTCTTTGACTTTCCTTAAACTAGTTTTTATTGACATTATTATTATTACCAACACACTAGATCTGGTACTTCATTGAACTGATGGCAAGATGATCAAATTTCTAATCTAAATTATTTGTCCATTTAAAATACTACATTTATTGCAAAGTATATTGTTTAAATCCAAGGATGACCCATCGTCATCCCCTTTCTATTTCAAGAATATGGTAAGAAGGTAGTTCCATTCAGACAGCTTCTTACCAAGAACTGCTGCTTTGTGGAACAGACATTTGAGAGAATGCATCTCCAATCACTATGTCTAGAATTAACTGTTATCTATCCTGCATACTCTCATAATGTGTACTTCTTAACTCCACCTCTTATGTCTATACAACAACCTCATTCTGTAAGCCCCTACCATGAGTGGCTCTTAGGCCTTGTATTAGGTTAGCAATAACATTAAAAAAAAACAGTAATCATAAAAATAACTTCAAGTGGTTTGTTGCTAGAGAGAAAAGGAAATTAGCCATCACAACCTAGACGTCATTTTCATTAATGGAAGACTGAAAAATATTTCTATAAAATTAAAAAAAAAATTTATTACCAAATAATTTCTTAAAAAAATAGTGAAATCTTAGAATTATTGCTCAGCCCAGTGTAAAGATTATCCAAACTGAGAAGGATGGGAATGAATTATTCCAAGATTTTATTACAAACTCAGTCAAATTTTGTGTGTGTGTGTGTGTGTGCATGTATTTGTGTTTGTATTAAATGGCACAAGCACATTTAAATCCTTTACAATACAGACATATGCATATACATTACATACATGTGTGCAAACCGTGTGTGGCGGACAGAGACTGACTTGTTTTATAATATAGTTTAAAGGGAACAATCCAGCATGCAGATTACAAATTGAAATTACCAAAATCAAGCAAGTACAACAATTTAAATATCTGGGAAGTGTTTTAAGAAAAGATAGAAAGTGCAACACTGAAATCTGAAAGCACACCGGTATAACAAAAGATGCCTTCCAAAAATTAAACAAAGTATTAAAAATGGGAAAATTTTGTTTGAAAGAAAAAAAAGCATACTGAACTGTTATGTAATATCAGTCATCTTATATGACAGTGAATGCTGGGCAATCTCCTCACAGATGAAAAAGACTTAAGACAATAGAAATCTTGTTCTACAGAAAGATGCTGAGAATGCTATGGACTGAATATGATAATTTTAAAGAAAATGGAAATAAAAAAAAGGGTACTTATACTTAGAATCTAAAAGAGACAGTTGAAATTCCTAGGGCATATAATGAAGAAAAGGGGCTTGGAAAATTTGACACTCACAGGACATTGAAGGCAAGAGGAACAGAAGAAAGCAGCCAATAACCTGCCTAATGAGCTTGTATAAATGGTTGGCAGAAGAGATAGCAAAAAGACAAAATTTACTAAGGGCTACAAAATACAGGAAATTGTGGTGAGTCATGATCCCCAACGTCCTGAAGGGGATGGTACATAAAAAAAGAAGAAAGAAAAGAAAGATTGCGTTTGTCCGGAAAGTATCCATCTATTAAATATGAGACAAAGACAGGTACCACTCAAGCTAGTGCAACTATACCTTAGTTCTTTCAAAATACTTTTCTTGGTACCTCATACATACATTTCTGTCAGAAATTATTTGGAACCAGGTGCCTCATATTCTCCTTAATCTTGTTTGTAGTGTTTCAACATATTTTAGCTTTGAGACAAGCCAGAAGTCACAGAGATCCAAACCTGTTTTGCAGGGGGAGTGACAGATCTGGATGAATGTGTATTCTCCCCCTCATCATCCCTGCCTTAAAAAAAACCTTGCATAAAATAAGAAGAATTGACTCTATTGTCATTGTGAATGAAATGAGGACATAAGCTAAATCTGTAGTGTTATATTATTCACTGAGTAACCCTACAGGAGAGTGTCAGTCCACAAACTAAGATCTCTTGTTAGTTATCAAGTTACATCAGGACCCTGCAACTCTTTCTTGATATATTCAAAGTAGCTGAATATGTTCCAAACAGAACTCATAAAGCTTTATATAAAATACTGAAATAAATGCTTATTTAACCGAATTGAGATTTACATTTTTTTTTCAAAATATTTAATGAAGGAGTTACTGCGTACATGTATTATTATTAATAATAATGAGTCTTACATTACCTATATGGATTTTATTTATTATTTCATCACTGTGCAATGCACAAGGAAATTTCACAGCAGTCCCCAGCTGCATCAACCCCCCACCAAAAAATACATACATACACACACACACACACACACACACACACACACAAAACTACAGTTCAAAAATTTGAAGCCATCCCCAGGATTAGCATGAAATGAACTTGAAAGAAGAGTGAAAAAAAAAAAAAGAGAGAAAGAGTTCTTAGTCATTGAAAAAAGAATGGAATCAATTATGAAACTTATACTTTGAGAAACTTTTCCAACAAATGTCAATAATTTGTGCTGTAGTAATCAAGGCCAAAGGAGGATATTTTGATGAGAGCAAATGTTTATTTCTTTTTGTTATAAAATTTCTAATAAAAAAAAAAATCATCTCTCTTTTTTTTTTTTTAGCATGTATAATAATTTTTTCATTAAATGATTTTGTTGCTCTTTACTGTTGGCATGAAAATATCAAATGTTTTGATTTCATACAAATTAGTATTTTGGTTGTTATACTAAATGAATTGACCTTTATAAAGATTTGTTTTAAATTACTGGGAGTGAAAGAGAATGAGAAGACATTAGAAGGAACTGGAAACTGAATAATAAACAAGAGATAAACCTCTACTTATGTTCAAAAGACTGGGAAGTAGTATGAACCTGACAATAAACATTCCTTCCCAGTCTTTTGAACAAGAGTCAAGGTTTATCCCTTGTTTCCTGTTTAGGAATGGGTTTCTGTTTCCTTCTAAAGTCTACCTGAACTCAAAACTTCTGATATCCCTGATTGAACACTGAAATTTTTCACTATTTATTTTATTTTTTCTCCACCCCCAATAAGATAAGTTCACCTATCATCCAGTTCATACTGCTCCCCAGTCTTTTGAACAGGAGTTGCGGTTTATCCCTTGTTTACTGTTTAGGGTTGGGTTTCTGGTTCCATCTAAATTAAAGTGTTCTCATTCTCTTTCACTCTTGCATCTTATTGGCATTATCACCTTGCTTGGGGTGAATTGATTAAAAATAAAAATTTTGGAAGCAATTCTGGATATGATTTTCTACTGAAAAAATTTTTATGTTATAAAAACTAGAATATTGAAAAAAGTGCTTTGCTTAGATATTTTCAGAAATAAAATTCAAGAAACATGGTAATATTTATTTAATCAAAAAAAGAAGAAAAAATCCCAACTTAGAATCAAAGGAAAGGGTCATCATGTCATATTAGCAATTAAAGGGACATAACTGTTAGCAAAGAGTTATTTTTTTGTAAAACCAGCCTTTTTTTTTTTTTTTTAAAGATTTTCGTGGGAGATTTTGCACAAAAATTTATTGGTTATAAATGTAAATTCCTCCTGAAACCTGAATCTCCAATCCATGATCCTTTTCCAAGTTATCAGATTTTGCAAAAAAAAATTATTGAATTTTTGTATATATTTTTCCAGTTTATCTAATTAAATAAAAAAACGCAACTTATTTACTTGTACTTAAAAATAAGTTGCACATGTGTGTGTGTTTTTAACTTTTAGCTGCAATAATGTCAAATTTAGTTATTGTATCTAACTATAAAATTGCTTACACTAATTGCAAAGTTAAACTTGTATAGAAATTGCTCCCCAAATTTTCATTTAGATATTAATCATCTTCTATACAGTGTCCCTTTGTGATCATGGCTCTCCACAACTCTCTATCCCTTGTAGCTTTTAGCAATACTTGTTTTTTTAACTTCTTTATAAAACTTGTTAGGTAGGTTTTGTTTCTCTCTACTACTCTTGCTTTCACTATGTCTTGTGAGTGTCAAATTTGTTAACACATCTTTCCTCATTCATTATGCGTCCTAGAAATTTCAACTTTTTCTTTCTGTACTTAAGTACAAGTATCCTTTTTTGTTTCCTCTTTCCTGAAAGCTTCTTCCTTACTTACATGTTCCATCCATGGTAGTCTCAGCTTTCTTTTGTAGAACCACATCTCTGTTGCTTCAAGTCTTCTCTTCATCTGAGGAAATTGTCCAGCATTCACTGCCATAAAGGAGGATAGATTTTACATAACAGTCCAGCACTCTTTTTTTTTTTGTTTCAAATGAAATTTTCCTGTTTTATAATCAATACTTTTAGTTTTGACACAACTTTAACAATTTCATTAATTTGATATTTGAAATTACATTCTTTGCGAAATCAAGATGTAGTGTTTAAAAAGTATATCTGAGAAATAAAAGAATAATGTTATGTTGTTACAAATGGACATTTTTTACATTGTGTAAAAATTTTATCCGTGTTTTTTTTAATGAATTTAGATAAAACTTTACAATGACTTCAATACAAATAAATGCAATCTATATTCTATAATTTCTTTTATTTTCATTTTACATATTTATTGTATGATGAAGTTCAGAAGAAGGCAGGTGGTTATTCCATATTTTTCCATTCTTCTATTGTTGTCCTCCTTTCTGTTGCACAAATACAAATACAGTAGAATCCTTGACAACCAGGCTAAGAAGGAATCCTGGATATGAGGAATTGGTTACAAAGTCTGGAAATGAGGGGGTTATATTTAGATTAAAATAAAAGAACTGAAATCAGGTTTAACATTTATTTTCAATGTTTTATAGTAAACAAAATAAGCTAATGGTGAGCATAATATAACAGAATTGATTTTAAGGAAAAACAAATAAATTATGTAATATTAAATTAAGTATGCCACATATGCAAAACAAATAATGTAATGAGGATTTTTTTAATCGCTGTTGCATGATGATTCCTTCTCTTCTAATGTCATTCTTAACTTTTTGTTTCGTTTTGCTTTTGTTCTTGAAATTTATTAAATGAAAGATACTTTTTAACTCTGCATGTAATATTGCAATCATCGTAGCTGAAGGCTGGCTTTCTTTCCATAAAACTGACAACCTTTTCAATAACTTTTTCAATTTCCGTCCAGGTTTCATCACAATCATGTTTTTATTTCCTTATTCATTGTGACAGTGTGAATGCTGGAGAATAGTTTCTTGGAAGATTTTAGATCATGCAATGTTAGCTTTCCTATGTTGAATTCAGCCATTAGTTACAATGAACTTTCACTAGCGTCTAGTCTGTTTAAAATTTTTACTTTTTACGATAAGTCAAAAGTTGTTCTTTTCCCCTTATTTCCATCGTCTTTTGCACCAATACAAGCCATTAGGGTGAAATAAGCAATTAAAGTAAATTTCCTGAAAAACAGAAATTTCAAATCAGTTACATATCACCCAAATAGTTCAAATATACACATCAAAATCATGTCCTGATATGTGAGATTCTGGATATGAGGGATTCTATTGTAATATATAAAGACTTCAACAGGAAAATCCGTCAGTTAAGTGACATACATGATACATGCTTCAGCGATCCTGTCTCTTTGATTCATGACTTGTCAGATTTTCCTGCACTAGTTTGCAGTTTCTTTCTGCTGTAGGTAGACTGGCTGTCAACCAAGGCTATAGGACCCAGTCTATTCTGCTATTCAACCCATTCCAAGCCAATATCCATTAACACCTTTCTTTTTTCCTAAGTCTTAGTCAAAAAGACCAATGATATACCATCTTTCTATTTTAGTATAATGATGATAACTGGTTGTTTTGAAAATTTAAGTTTATGATCATAAGCCTTAAAAGATAATTAAGTTTTCTTCTTGGGAAATTAACTTAATTCTCCTGAGATAAAATAAAACTATGTAAATATAAACATACAACGAAGACCTCTCTTAGCTTTTCACTGACCAGATATGCAAGACCCCACATTGTATCTCTGTTCTCATTTGTGTTGAAGTGCACCAACAAGCTCACAAGGAAATGAAAGATAAAAATAAATGCCACAGCAAGAAATGAAGACTCAAATACTGTCTTCAATTTATTTAATTCAAAATTCTCTTGCATTGTCTGGGTAAGTAGGCGATGCTTGGGATAACTTCTATCAGTTCTGACGTCCTACACTAAGAGAGCAGCTTTTCTCCTGAAATCTGATTTTCCTTATCAACCCTTTCCCCCTGAAATCAGATTTTCCCTATTGACAGTTTTCCCCAGAAATCCGATTTTCCCTGTCGGCCCTTTCCTTGTGAAATCTGATTTTCCTTATCAACCCTTTCCCCCTGAAATCCGATTTTTCCTATCAACCTTTTTACCATCATCATGCACAACTGGCAGCTAATGGGGGCATCAGAACTACCTTGATGGTCTGCCTTCACCCAGTAATGGGCAGCTCAATACTTCTTCAAAGGATAGTCTGACCCTAACTTTGGGTGGTCCTCAACTTTGCTCACTCCTACATATAGACCTGTGAGTGGAAATCCTCAACATCTGACTTGTTGTCACTTGACCTCAAAATTTTTGATTTCATTATCTATCATTTTATTCTTTTGGTAAAGTGGGTGGCCGCTTTGAAGACCCCATTTCATGAGGAAATTGTGTACCGTCTAGTGTTATATAGGAAGGTAGATATCACATAACAATCCAACACTCTTACAGGATTAAAAATGTATTATTATACCTGACTAAACATTATTGATACAATAGCAGCTTGAATGGATATAAGAAAAAAAATTCAATTCAAAGTCATTGTTATATTAAATCCTGCTTGTGCATTTGTCTTGAATGTGTAATTTTGTGAAGTTCTCTGAAAATCTGTCTATATTTCTGCTTTAACAAGGTATTGAAATCACACTCTTTGGGTCCTGTCACTGGATCTAACTAATGCCTTTATCTACTGTGCCATTGTTCCTTGACATGGCACGTGGAATTAGAACAGTCAACCCCAGTGACCGAAATAAAGGGTTCAGTTCAACATTCCTTTAGTTTTTCTTCAATTTTGAATTATGTTGATGAAAAATGTAATTTTTGGCTAAAAGAAAATGTCTAAACTCTTACGAGCTGTAAAATAATATTTTTTTCAATTGTTTTTCTTAATTTTAAATAATTTTTGAGAAAGTCTTCAATCTTAACCATTTCTCTTTTTTTCCTTTCCAGTTACTATGACTTGGACAGCACTGATTTTGACAGCATCAACAAATACCTCTCAGGTCTTGTGGAAAAATGCATCTTTGATCTTTCCTGTTCTGGCTGTATTATAGTTTCAGAGGTAGTTTGTTTACCTGCATATATAATATATAAAAAATTATAATTATTTTTCATTACTTATATATTGTTTATAAAAAATAAATTTTTTTCATTATTTACTTGCATATATAATTTATAAAATTTTTTAATTATTTTTCCTTATTTAAATGCATATATAGCTTAAAGAAAATTAAAAATTATTTTTCATTATTTATCTGTAATATAATTTATAAAAATTTAAAATTATTTTTCACTATTTACTTGCATATGTAATTTATAAGAATTTAAAATTATTTTTTATTCATTAGTTGATAAATAAAAATTAAGTCAGAATAAAATGTTTGAGCAGTATGCGTATTTCTTTTGCTAGAATGAAATATTAAACTTGTAGTAAAATAATTTCTGTTTCTGCTTAAAGACAAAACTGGAAGCAGAAAAACAGTCTAATTCCAATTTTTATTCCCTTTAATAATATTTTGAATAATATTCTGATTGGTTTTTTTTTTTGCTCTACACATGAAAATCCAACTCAATTTTGTTTCACAAAACTAAGATGCAAGTTGGTCAGCATTTTTGACCAATTGTTCTTGACCCAACACACAAGAAGTTGCTCCTTTGTCTGATATTTTCTGGTCTTTCAAATTTGAATGACTGGTCAATAAAATTCCTATTTGCAAATGATATATACCCAACCCTTCCACTTGCGTAGATAGCATAGGATTGACATAGAATTGTTGAATAGAAACCTATACATTAAAATTTCCTTGAAAGTTTTTGAGCCTATGTGTTTCTAAAAAAATTCAATTATCTAAAACATTACAATTAATTGTTTAAAAAGGATGTTAATTTTAACAATGTTACAATTATTTCTGTTTTATTATTTTTATTTTATTTTATGTGTCTCGTACTTTTGTGTGTGACTATATTATTTAGATTATAATCTATTCTATCTTTCTTTTTTTTTTACTAGGACCACAAAGTTGAAGCCACCACACTTGGAAGAATTGCATCTTATTATTATTTGAATCATAAAACAGTAAAAATGTTTCAAGAAGAACTCAATGAAAAATCTGGCATTAAAGAACTTTTGAATATTTTATCTGTAAGTTGGACTTATATTGTTGCTTGTCTTAAATTTTTAAGTATGTTTTTCACTTAAGTACCTTTTTATTTAGGTACCTCGAAAGAAAAGCAAATAAGGTTTAAAATGAACTTTAGAAAATGAAAAATCTTTCTTGAAGCTGTTAGTTATAATTTCAAGATAATAGATTAAATTCAATATTTCCAATAAGCAAAATACTTTGCTGTATTTATAAAACAAATTTAAATTGATTGAAATGGGTTTTTTTTTTAAATCACTAAGAATGGCTGATTTTAGCCATATTTACACAACATAATTCTCTTTCTTAAAAAATCTTTCAAAAATAAAATCCACTTTTCTGAAACATTATTCGTGGAAAATGAACTGATTTAAAGTTTAATTAATCTGATTTGAAACAAATATTATTTACTTTTAGTTTAAAATATCACAGAAAAGCATTTTTTAATATAGAGATGGATGATTTTATGAGGTGTTGACAATTATCTCGATAGACTTATGTTTGGAATTTTTTTTTCTATGGGGGATTGTAAAAAAATTACTTGTATATAATGTTAACACCTTTTTTTTGTATAATCTTTTTTTATTCTTTAAAATTTAGGAAAATTTTAGGAGAACTAATATTTTATTGGAATTTTAGGTACTTTGGTTTTAAATTTACTATAATTACTGTTCTGATTTTCTGATAATGTCACGTATGGACATCTGTATTTATGAAAATTGGCTTGTTTATACACACACTAAAAAAAATCTAAATTTAAAAAAAATACTGGGAGTCACTGAATTGTAAGCTTTTCCATTTATGATTAGTAAATATAGTTTTTACTTAATAACAATTCTTGTAACAAGTCATTATGCTTGAAAAAAATATTCTTAAGATAATAATGTCTATAATATATCTTATTCATAAAAGCAAAAGCATTTATAATTAAATAATGTTTTAGCTGTAGTCTTTATTTTACGATTCCGAGTAGATTTTCGGTAACTGGTGTTCCTGTTTTAGAAAAGAAATTGATGATTTAAACTCTTCAAAGATTTCTGCTTAAAACTAATATAAACATTGTCATACAAAAATGAATTTTTCAAAATTTCATAAAATTAAATAAGTGGAGGATAACATGTAAAAACAAAATATTTTTACCAAGATTTTTGTAAAAAAAGAAACATTTTTGAAATAATTTTATTCTTTGTGAATAAATCCTGAAATTTGATAATTATTTGATTTTTGCAAGAACTTCTAAATCAACGTGTTTTTCACTGAAAAAAACAAAACACTAAAATGTCATATATTAATTTATGCTCATCTACTGATCAAAAAAAAAAAAAAATTTTTGAAGGTTCTAAAAAGGATTAAAACATATAATTTAATAATCAAAAAAATCCTTTGGTCTTTCATCTTAATAATAAGAAAGATTTTAACGATAAAACTTTGTTTTTATAAGTTTGGGGCATTTTTTTCATCATTTATGCTCATTTTTTTTATTGAATCTTGAGAGGTACCTACTTTTATTTATTTATTTATTGCTAACCACAAATGATGTACTCATTTCAGCAATCATTTTCATTGGTTGAAATTCTCAGCACTGAATCTGATTGGTTTGAAAAGTCATATGCTGCACCCTATGGTTCTGGAAATATGTGAAACTGAAAATGGAGCAAAATATATCAGGTTTCAAAGATGATTATGACAAAATATTTTTAGCAAGGCTATTTAGTACATAGATAACAAAATAGGTCCCAGTTAAATGTTGGAGGAGCTATAAAAAAACAAATCCTCATCCATTAGATTTACCTAGTGAAATAGTGATTCAACATTGAATTACTGAATTATCTAGGAAAATCAATTGGCATTCAAAAGCCATTTAAGTCTTTTATTGTAAGCTTTGCCCAGCAATTTCTCCATCTAACCAGGTCAGCTTCTAATAGGATTCAAAGAAAGAACACTGGACCAGACAGAAAATAAATATTATTCTGATGAGGAAAATGTCAGACCATTCTATGAGAATCCTCTCCAATATATTGAGTTATTAATAACTTTTTTCTTTTTTTACATTAAGGTTCATCCTGTACAAGGCCTGGGGGTGACAAGGTAGAAGGTTACATTAAGGGGTAGTTTATATGGATAAGAGGGGAAGGAAATAGTTAACTTGAACAGGTTAAGATTGTAGTGATCGGTGGGGGGGATCCTCTTGGGACTTTGTTGCACAAGGCAGTGGTTTGTGAGAAGAAACTGTTTGAGTGGAACTTATTTCTCACCGATAGAATACAGAGAGAATGTGGGTAGTTTGTTACTATGTAAGTGACATGGCGGGCCCTAGCCATGAAGGTTAAACCAGATGGAATCAAGGAATGTAGTTTGTCTGAGCACTTTCCATGGAAGTAGTGATGAAGCAGCAAGAGACTCGCCTGTGAGAAAGAGGTAGAAGGGTGGAAAATAATTATTCTTCAACAAGGACTCAGAGATGCTTTTGAACTATATCAAGAGTAGAAAATGAAGACCAGGTAGCTCCCACCCAAATATGACAACCGTATTCCATTTTTGTACTGATCTGGCTCTTATAAAGATAGAAGATAGCATGAGGAGTCAGGTACTTACTGGAATGATGCATCATCTAATTCTTCATAACTTCAAAAACTAATCCACAGATTTATGCAAAGTTTTCCATGAAACCTTCCTTCGTCATCTTCAACAACTTAGAAAAGTTCCTAAACTTGGAAAATGGGTGCCTCATGAATTGTCTGAAAACAACCTCAAATCCTGAGTTGACATCTACTCTTCTCTCCATTCTCAGCAACTTGTTTCACCATTTTTGGATAGACTTGTAACTGGCGACGAAAAATGTATCTTTTATCGAAATGTTAAGCGTCGTAGACAGTGGCTTGGTAAAAGGGAAGGACCCCAGCCACAGCCAAGAAGGGAATTTCATGGACAAAAGGTTCTTCTTTCAATCTGGTGGGATTGCCAAGGAATAATCCACTTTGAATTCTTACCACCTAATGTAACAATTAATGCTCAAATATACTGTCAGCAATTAGAGCATTTGAACCAAGCTTTGAGGGAAAAAAGACCTGCTCTAGTGAATCGAAAAGGGGTGATGTTTCATCAGAACAATGCATGATCCCACACAGCAAGAATTACGTCACAAAAGATTGAAGAACTTGTTTGGGAGAAAATTCCTCATCCACCTTATTCTCCTAATCTTGCTCCTTCAGTCTACCATTTGTTTCGTAGCTTACAGAATCATTTGGATGAAACAGCTTTTGTAACACAGGAAGAGGTTAAAACTGACATTTGTGAGTTCTTCGAATCAAAGCCAAAAGAATTTTACAGTAATGGAATTAGTAAGCTTGTTAATAGATGGAAGGAAGCCATAGGGAAAATACATTGTTGATGGAATCTGTAATTAAATGTTACATTTGGTCACTTGTTTCCTTATTCAAAATTTCGGACAGAACTTATGGGATGACCTGATATCTTGTTCATTTGTTTATTTGAATTTAATTTCAACCTTTGCTTTCACTTGTTTATCACAAGGCTATATTTTTGTTGGTGGAAGAATTAATCTGGGATCAGAATTAAGTAATTATCAACTCTGACACAAGTGAAATCATAACTGATGATTCCATAGATGGTGAAGTCCTATTGTACTTTTGTTGGATACCTAATTATTTTATTGGGGGCATTTTTTTCCATAATTCTTAATTCTAAAGTTAACTAAAAATAATAAAATTTTTAGTTAACTTTAGAATTAAGAATTCTTTTTCAGTGTCAAGTAATGTATAGAAGTGTTTGTACAGGTGGGAGTGTCAATGTTGATTTGTTAAAGACATTAGTATTAGATAAATCAGTTATGGACTGACTAACTGCAAAATGTATTTTTAATAAAAATTTAATGAATAATAAGGAATTTTAATATATTTTATTGTTATACATTATTTATAAGTACATGCTCTACATTATTTACATTATTCAGACTATTGTCCTCATCTTTGTTGCCATATTTATTACAAGCACAGTAGATAAAGGCATTGGTTAAATCCAGTGACAGGACCCAAAGAGTGTGAGTTCAATACGCGGTTAAGGAGGGAAATTAACAGGAGATAACTGATAACGGACATCCACTAAATAGTCTACCCCAGTGAGCGAAATAAAGGGTTAAGTTCAACATTACAACCACCTGAAGAAGGCTGGAGCGTACAACGGCCAAAACATTGTAATAAATATGGCGACAAAGATGAGGACAATAGTCCGAATAATGTAAATAATGTACATAATACCTTATCTCAGAAATATAGACAGATACTGAAGTAAATTCTCTGTTTATAATAACAACATTTACCAGCCTGAATGTCTGAGAAATTTCATAAAAAATATGCATCCTCTGGCAGGAATTGAACCTGTATCCTACATGGAACCATCATATAGCTTGATGTGCTATACCAGTTTAGCTATGAAGAAGCGTCTGGTTAACGAGGTTAATTTTACTGCTTTTAAACTACAAATTTCCCATAATTTTCTATGAAATTTCTCAGACATTTAGGCCAGTAAATGTTGTTAATACTATTTATTATAAACAGGGTATTTACTTGAATATTTGTGTCTATATAAATAATGTATAACACTAAAATATATTAAAAATAATTGTCGGACTTAGTCCATTTCGTAAGTGTGTGATGTCATTAGAAGGAATGTAAATAACTGAATCAAAAGCAAGCAGATCAAAATTATAAAGACAAGTTTCAAGAATTCTTAGATGACTTTATTCAAAGTTTTTATCAATATGTTCTGCGTTCTTTTAATTTGTGGTGCGAAACAAATGGTTGCCCAGTAACCAAATATATTGAATGAAAACAGAAGTTTTGTTGAAAAGGCCCTGAAATTAATGGAAATTGGACATGTTAGAATGTGCTGAGAATGAAATGAATAAATATCAAAAGGTACTTCTGAAAATTTTCTAAAAAAACGAGATGACATCATGAAAAAAAGCCCAAAACATAATAAAAACAAACTATTACTGTCAAAATCTTTGTACTGTTATTGAAAGGATTTTTTGATGTAAAAATTATTTTTTTTTTTATTCTTTATAGAACATTGAAAATTTTGATGTCAACATAAATTTGTATGGGAAATTTGTGTTTTTTTTTTTCTTTTTTTTTTTTCAGAGAAAAACATTGATTTATAAATTCTTGCAAAAATCAAATAACTATCAGATTTTAATAAAACTTTCAAGACTTATTCAGAAAGGAATTACATTATTTTTCTTCTTTCAAAATCTTTGTAAAAATCTTTGTTTTAAATTTGTTATCACCCACTCATTTCATTTTTATGAAATTTTGAAAAATTCTTATTGTATCACTTAATGATTATATTTGTTATACAGACAAGTTCTTGAACAATTTAAATTATCAAATTATTTTGGTCAAACAGGATTCCCAATTATGGAAAATCTGCCCTGATTTTTAAAATAAAAAATGCAATAAAACTAAGATATTTTTTTTATTAGAAAAACTTTTAATTGCTTTTATGAATAAAATATATTAATTTAATAAGAAAATTTCTTTTTTGATGAATAATGAATTTTTCTAATGAATTTTTGGAGGTACCTAATTTTGTATTGTAATCAGACATGAAAAATTGAATATATCTGTTTGAAAAATTTTCAAGAGGTTTTGGAATGATTTTTTTTTACTTACATTATTTACAAGTGGACTATTGTTATCTTTGTTGTTGTTATCACAAAAATTTAGTCATTGCGCTCTTTGGCCTTCATCAAGTGCTTGTTGTTTTTCATAACTTTTAGAGAATTTCAAACTGAATGATGAAGGTCAGAGCACATAATGACTGAAATGTTATGATAACAACAACAAAGATGAAGACAATAGTCTGTGTGTAAATAATCGAAATTGCAGATAAGACATTCAGGCAGAATTTGTTTATTTATTTTTTTTTTTAAGGAAAGTTGGGTCACTGTATCATGCCAAAAGATTTTCTCATCAGTGTATCTTGCACATTTACAAATCTACCATTTGTCCATGCATTGAATAATGCTTCCATATTTGGTCTGTTCCTCCTCCTATTCCCTTCTTGGGTATGACGATAAACTACATCTGCATCCTGTGTAAGACGATAAACTACATCCAGAAGCAAGGCCTCTGATCAGGAGGTTTTGAGGAGTGTGGAACCACCTCTTAATTGCTGGTGTTCCCAGGTCCATCCTGACCTGGGGTGGTAGCACCTGTTAGGGTCCCAGCTATGGGCAAATAGTTAACCCCGAAACTGGGGTGAAATCACTATGAAAGTGTAAAAACAGGTTTTAATACCAGAAATACTTTGTAAAAAACTTATTTCCAGCAATAAATTTTTGAAGAAAAAAAACTATTACGAGCTATAAGTTTTTAAAAAAGAAAAATTATTACCAGAAATAGGTTTTTGACAAAATAAACTATTTCCAGCAACACATTTTTGAAAAAAAATTATTACCAGAAATAGATTTTTGACAAAATAAAATATTACCAGCAATGAAATTTTGTTGGCATTAAATAACCCATTGGGGTTGATATGCCATAAAACAGACCAAACCAAATCTCCTCCTATTCATCTTGAGGTACTTGACAAAATCCAAAGAAGGATCTGTAATGTAATCAATCCTCACTTAGGCATTTCAACTTCAGTCACTTTCTCACTGATATGGTGTGGCTTCCCTCTGTCTTTTCTACAAATATTTTCATGGTAACAGCTCTGATGAGCCTTTTTCCCTGGTCCCTCAACTACATGAGTTGAGTATGCTCCTAAAATTGGCATCTAGGTCACACCTGTTTACTGTTGAAATAGATAAATGCAATCACCACTTCTACTCCATCAGTTTCTTTTCTTACACTTCCCTCCAGTAGAAATCCCTTTTGTTTACTTGCTTCCATGATAATTACAAACTTCAAAAATTTAAATGTAATGTCAGTCGATATCTTCTGTCTTCTTGAATCCTGTTCATCTTTTGTCTTTTCCTCAATCCTCCCTATACACCAGTGGTTCCCAACCAATTTTGGGTCATGCCCCACTTTGAGATTTCTAAAATTCCAGTGTCTCCTGCCCCTTGTAATATTTAATTCTTACATGCATGCCAATTACACACGTACGTACATACACACAAAATATTTTTTATGTATGCATACTGTATATGCATCGTATGTATTAACACGTATTAACATTAACACTCTCACTCAGACTCACTAGAAAACAATTCCCTGTTAATAACTCATTCTCGAATTGTCCCCTTATTCTTTTGGTATAGTAAGCCGAAAGGTCCATATCCTATGCATACCCCACCAAAATATTACCATGCCTTATTGGTGGGGGACCATTGCTATATTCATGTCTTTTCTCTCACTTTCATTCCCTGTAGTCCTCTGCATACTAGTGGCATTTCTGCCTTGTTTGGGGTGAAATAATTAAAAAAAAAAATTTAAATTGGGTTTTAAAAATTGTATTTATATTTTGGTAACATCTTATTTATTCTGTCTTCCTTAAAATCATTTTTAAAGGGCCTCTAAACTATTTGTTTTTTAAAATTTTTTACTTACAGAAAGCTCAGGAATATGCAGAGTTGCCAGTTCGTCACAATGAGGACCAATTAAACAGGTTAGCAATTTCTTTAAAAGTTTATAGAAAATTTAAAATGAGGCTTACTTTTTCTTTCCTCATTGATGTTGCTTTTTTATCACAGTTGTCTAGGTTGACCTATTATACAGTCATCAAAATAAATGAGATATAAATTAAAGTGTTGACTTTAACAACTGATAAAAATTAATAATAATAATAACAATAAAAGAAAAACTAATCAGAAATGAATGATGAAAATATTACAACTTAAACCTCAGATAATTTCAGGCTAAACTCACTCAGAAAATATTTTTGTATCTTATATTTGAGATCAGTTAAAGAAACATTGCACAGATGATGCAAACCCAATTTTACACATGTTAGAGCAATAGTTTTTCACTTTTGTCAAGGTTTGTACCATTTTGAAATTTTAAGCCCTTGATCTTAAGGTGCAAAAATTTTAAACCTCTTGATCTTAAGGTGAAAAAAATTAAATGTAATGAAAGAAAATTAGAAAATTTAATCTAAAAACATTGTAAATAACAAAATTGAAAGTTTTGAGATCTTTACAATAAAAGATGTTACAAATAAAGTCATTGTTACTTCGTAACTCAACTTTGAAAAAAATTGTTATGTTGGGATTTTTTTATTTTTAAGCTAACTGAGATATTTGCCCCTTTGAAGAATCATTTCTTGAATTGGACCACATTGAAAAGAAAATAGTTTTATACATCAGCAATAAAATGAAAGAAATTTTGTTTGTTGTCCTCTTTTCACCTCCAACAACAAAAATTGCCTTAGATAACACTCTAGGTTAAAAACCATTGCAATAGGAAATGGAAAATTTTAAAAAGATTTTGATTTAAAAATTTAAACATTTTTTTAAAGTATGGGAAACTGAAAGAAGTCTAGACTGCATAACTAATCACATTTGAAGAAAAAACTAAAAAAATACTTTAACATTCCAACATCTTCAGCGATTCCTGTTGTTGCATAATTGTGTAATTATGCTCTGCTTGCATGTTTATAACTTCTCATCTGCCTACTACACACATATAATTCCATCAGCAAAAACATTACTTTAGCCTGATGAAGTCCTTCTACAGGACGAAATGTGTTACACAGAATTTTTTCTACTCTGGCATTCATTTCGCTAACATGTTTGAAAGTAAAAAATAAATAATTAAGTTCATGATATTAGCAATTACAAATAAAAAATTAGCAAGGGCCAATCCATTTTCCAAAATCTAACCAAATAACCAAACATCAAAATTTGTCTTGAAATCCCTTCCAGGTTGGGTTTAGGACTTTTCAGCACCTCTTTCTGCTACTTTCTGTCCTATAATAATTGTTATCTTGAATGTATGAAATATATCTGAAAATGTAACAACTTTTATGGGACAAAGGCAGTAATTAAGTTTTTAAGTTTAAAATTATTAAAATATAATCCATTAAATTATATTTGCATATGTGCATTAAATATATCAGATTCAGCGATTGCTGAACATTTGATTAAAAACCAGCAGTGTGCTCAGTCTTATAGCTCAGACATGTTCTCAGAATAATGCCAACTATCACTTGAAGGTTTTGGAGGAGTCAGTATAAATTAAGTCCTACCAGCCATCTCTCTGTAAGCAGAAGGAATAGTTGCTGAGCTTAAGAGTAATTAGCCTTTAATGTTATATTTTCTGTTTGTATGTAAAATTAGTTTAGAGTTGTATAATTTTTAGTTGCTGTGCATTTATTTTTGTCCTGGAATTTTGCTTTGATGAGAGAAAAACGATAAATCAGTTTAGATGTTTATAATCCTATTTTAATATTACCAATTTATGGTAAAACATATTTTCTGTTACCCCTCTTTTTTATTATGAATGTCCTTTTAATATATCTGTTTTTATTGCTCTAATAAAACTTTGTACTCTTGTGGAAATATATTTGTTTCTGTTTTTGCCTAGTGTTTTCGTCTTTACCATTTCTTGATTTGTGTTTAATTTCTTTTTCTTTTCAGTGACTTAGCCAAACAAGTGCCTCTTGAAGTTAATTCACATACATTTGATTCTTCCCACACAAAAACACATTTGTTGCTCCAGGCCCATTTTTCTGGCATTACATTGCCTTCTTCAGATTATTACACGGATACAAAATCTGTTCTTGACCAAGCCATTAGGATTTTACAAGTAAGTCAATAACTATTTTCATTATTGATTTTACAAGTTCAGATTATCAAAATAAAATTGACGCATGTTCTTCTTTCTGATATTTTAATGTTGTAAATGATGGGGTAAATAGCATGACAGACTGGGTTCTATAGGCTTGGGTGGCAACCTGTCTAGGAGAAGGAAAACTCTGAATTCAAACCAGCCTGGAGAAAGTTGGGCTCTGTAAGGCTTTTTTGCTCTAGACACACTTCAACTGCAGCTGCAGTACATGTGGTGCCCCTACAACTCTAATGAGTTATGGGACTTGGGATTGTGATGATTCAAAGATTTATTTAGATTTTCAATTAAATTATGGCAGTTCCATAGATCTTTACTTTTCAATCTCTTTCATTCTGTCACACATAAAACAGCATGCAGCTTTCTCAGTGCTTCTCAAACTAATATTATTTTTTTTTTTAAATGATTTTTGTTTTCACATAACTGGTCCTTAGGTCCTCATTTAATGAGGGTCTTAGTAGATGAACCACTTAAAGCAGAGGTTTGTAATAATTATATAAATGTGTTTACTTCTCAATACTGACTTATTATTTCTTATTAAATGTCAACAAGATTGTTGAGACAGAATTTTAGGTAGCACTGTTTTTTTTATAAATCTGCCATAAAATAAGTAGAGATGTTAATTTAACCAAGTAATTTGTACCTTGTCCCTTCAAGTCCTGGATGGTCATGGCTCTCCACAACTTCCTCTCATTTTGATTATTATACATGTCAATATAAACACAAAAAAGAAGAGAGATGCTAAAGACTTTGGCATCTATTACCTTATCACTCTATTATCTACTTCCAAAAATAGTTGAGCATTTACTAACAAATATCTTAGATATAAATCAGTCAAGAAGATTTTTGGAGGAGTAATTCAGCAATAAACCAACAATAAAAAATAACAAAGCTTTATATATATATATATATATATATATATATATTCACCCAATATAAGGCCCAAAAGCCACTCAAAGTAGTGGGTTACTGTGTGGAGTTGTATTAGCATAAGAACGGACACTCATTAGGAGTAAAAGTTAAAGTAGGCATTAGAAGGAACTGGAAACCTGATTCTAACAGGAAACAAGGAATAAACATCTACTCTTGTTTGAAAGACCAGGGAGGAGTGTGAACCGGATGATAGGCAAATCTATCTGCTCCTATTGGTGGAGGAGAGGGGGAAAAAAATAAAACAAATAATTAGTGAATAAAATTTCAGAGTTCAGGTGCAAATGTTCGGGGTACAAAGCTGAAGCAGACATTAGAAGGAACTGGAAACTCAATCCTAAACAGGAAAACAAGAAATAAACCTCTACTCCTGTTTGAAAAATCGGGAAGGAGTGTGAAGTGGATGACAGGCGAACTTATCTATTTTGTTGTCTATGAAAAACTATTTGATTTGGTAGAATGTGTGTCAATATTTAGCTCACAACTAGAGCACGAGCAGTTTCTTCTTTCGCAGTTTTCGCTTGTGAGACTCTCTTTTGGCTCCATGCTTTCCAGCCAATTTTATTTTGCAAAGATTTAAATGCAATGTTAATTGCTGTCTACTTGTCCTCCTGATTACTTTTTTCTCTTCTTACTCATTATTAATGTTCCTAATTCTTCCACATCTTGTAACCCCTTGTGTCTTAGTGGCTTTACTACTTTGCTTGAGATGATACCGATACAAAAAAAAAAATATATATATATATATATATATATATATATATATATATATATATATTGCAAATATCTATGATAACAGTATGGTTACAATCTGTCTACACAAAGAAACACATAAATAAAAATTGGAAAAACTGAGTGTGGCAAGAGAAAATGACTTTGTTGGAGTTTGTAAAATTCGTCTGCTCCTATATAGAGAGATTTATCACATGATGTTAGGTGGTCTCTCATTGGGTTTAGAAAAAGCTGACCACCACCAGGGAAGGGACTGGATCTGCTCTGAAGTAACACAAGAAATTCTCTCTGCTGCCAACAATACTGGTTGTTGAGGGTTTTAAATGTACAAGCTATCTATCTCTATTTCATTACACCAAATGGGTAAGTCCGCCTGACATATTCTCTATATATATAGGAAAGGACATTGTATTTATATTAACTGTTGTATTAATGTTTAGGTGTAAATAGATATATTTATTACATGTTGATAAAGTATTCTTTTTATTCGTGTCAGTCCCAAAGTAAAGTAGGGTTAGCACAATAAGTTCATTTAAACAACTGCAGGCTTGTCGGAGTTAACTCCTCCTTTCGCTCCGTTAACCCTTTCACCAGGGGTCTCTCTTTCCTGGCTATAAATAGCCAATGACCCTTCGCCTCTATCTCTTTTTTCCCTTCAGGCCTGTGCACTGACACCTTGAGGTAAACTCTCTTATTCCTAGAGGATTTTCAGCTATCAACCTCGAAATATAGTCGCTAACAAGGGATAGCGTGGAAACACGCTAAGCACATATTCACACATGCCGCACACACATGAATATTCACAGAATATTCACACATGCACGCATGCACAGAATATTCACAGAATATATTCACACATGCATGCACATACAGAATATTCACACACTTGTACTGTTTCCATGTATTGTAACTTGTTATTAATATATATTTGTATATACATATATTATCAGTCTTGTTTTTGTTTGCTTTCTTTACCTTCTACTTGGTTATTTCTCTTGTTGTTGTCTTTGTTACATTTGATATTGTAAAAATTGTAGAGGGTCAGTTTTAATTTCTATTTATAACCAATACAAATTGGCTGACCCACTATAGGCTTGAAATTTTCTTTTGGAAAAAGAACTGAGAAGGAATGGGAGTAAACATGAACAGTGAATATTTAAATCATCTTTTTACATTATTTAAACTATTATCCTCATCTTTATTGCCATATTCACAACATTTTGGCTGTTGTACACTCCTGCCTTCTACAGGTTATATTTCTTAGAGTTTTGAATCAAACCATTTATTTAGTTAGTCCATGGGTGTCTGTGTGTGTGTGTGTGGGGGGGGGGATACTAATTCCACATGCTATGCCTTTTAATATCTCACTTTCATTTAATTCCTCTTCTTTTTTTTTTGTTCCTTCCGATGTGGCCAGTTATTGAACTCACAACTCTTTGGGTTAAGTCACTTTTGGCTCAGTCAACTAACACTTTCATCCACTGGGTCATGTGGATAAATACAATCTTAACCTCTTCAAGTCAAGGATCAATCATTATCTGTCCTCCTTATCCTCATAATTGTCACTTTCTACAAACTTTTCTTTCATTCATATCACACCTTGTTCATCATAAGCATTTTAACAGTAACACTCTAACTTAAGTGGACCTTGAGCCTTGTATTGGTTAAACTTGATTATATAAAAAAGATTTTCTGGTTAAAATTAAAACATATTAAATTTATAGAAGCAATGTACAAAAATAGAAATTAAATTTTGTTTATTATAGAAGAAAAATCTCCAAATTTTTTCTCTCGTTATTTTATTTTTAATGTTATCTTCTTTCTTTCTTTCTGTCTTGTTTATAATTTTATTAATTAAAAAGAAATTGAAACAAGAATTAAAGTTTTCACAGCTTCCATTTCCACTTCCATCTATTTGTCTTAATTTAACTTTTGTTATTTTTGTCTAAGACTGATTGTCAGGCACTGAGTGAAAGAGAGGAGAGAAGAACTCATTTAGCGACATTGGTTTTATTTTTATTTAAGTCAGATTTATTTGTTTTATGCATAGATCCACATCACTGGAACAACAACTACCCAGAATATTTATTAAGCATTAATCACTGAAGTAATACTATTCCAAATTTAGAGTTAGACAAAAACTTATACTGATATGCTTGACATGATTACCTAGTATTGTGTAGGATGCATTTAACCTGATGAAGTGTGCACTGATTTAATATTTGCATTTGACTCCACAACTCATTGGAAGAATTCTAAGAGGTATTAAGCCTTTCTCTTTCAATAGCTATGTGCAACTCAAGCTTTTCTTCATGACCCATAAATTACTCAGTTGGGGAGTTATAATAGGTCAATGTGGTGGCCACACCATTTTGTTGGAAATTTCCAGAATATTTCTCAAACCAATTTTAGTAATTTGGAACAATGACACAATGCATTATACTTTTGGAATAACCCATTGTTCTTAGGATACATGAGTTGATTGATTTGTTTTTTATGGCTTACCAACCTTTTGCAGATTATTTAAAGCCAGAAAATATTTTTAGATTGTAAGAACATTTTGGAGATAACGATTTACAGACAAGTCATACTATTTAACTCATAGCTGAGAGAGAAGAAGTGGATTCATACCTTTTCCAAGGGTATTTGCATATAAGTAAATATAATGAACCTGACTGGAATTGGAACATGGCTCTATAATTTCTAATCCTGAGCCATTATCCATTACACCACCCACACATCCAAGCACCTAGTATTCCCAAGACAATTCTTGCCAGACACATGTGGTCACGATCATTAAGACCCATGGTCAGCCTCTGTGGTTGATGGTTATACCTTCCATCAGGTATGCCTCTCTAGATTGAGGGATGTCAAATGTCTTCACAGTTTTAAAAATGGATTGTCCCATCCATCCAAGTACCTATTATCATGCTCGGTTTGAACTCAGATAATTCATATAACATTTCCATGAGCAGCTTGGCCAGTGTTCATATTGACTCACCAGATGCCAGCACACAATTATTGAAGTCTGTGTATTTCCATGATATCAAGGTACTACGGCATCACCTATATGCTGCTATCCCATGACTTTTGGCACATCGGTGTGTACACTGATGTGCCAAAAGTTTTTACATTCTTCATCATAGTCATTGATAGAACAAAATCAAAAGTGTTCAATTTAAATATATATTGCAGTTTTTTTCCCAAATTATAAATATAATAGTATATATATATATTTTTTTTTTTACTTTTCTTTCTTAGGCTATGCTGGATACTTGTGCTGACCAAGGTTGGGTAGTGACAAGTCTGTATGTCATTAATTTATTACAAATGGTCATCCAGGGACACTGGTGCAACAAAAACACTCTTCTGACTCTCCCCCATGTGATGCCTTATCATCTTAACTGCTTCAGGTAAGTTAATCTTAACCAGTTCATTTTGAAAAATTATACCTTGCTGAAATTTAGAATGGATTTTGGATATGGGTACCAGATACTTTCTGATAAGGTAGGTCACTGCATTTTGACTTTTGACTACAACTCATTTAATTATTGATCAAAACAGAATCATATCTTCAAGTTCTTCAGCTAATTATGTCCTATGAAGTGGAATCTTGAAGTGATGTCCTTAGATTGTTTATGTTTAGTTCCTCATTTAATGACAGTCTTAGTGGATGAACCACTTATGGCAGAGTTTTGTAATAATTATATAAATGTATTTACTTCAATACTGACTTATTAAAAGTCAACAAGTTTATTGTGACAGCAATTATAGAATTGTTTTTTTTATATGTCTTCCATAGAGTAAGTAGAAATGTGATGATAATTTTATCAAGTAATTTTGTACAGTCCATATCACTTGCAGAAAATATCAAGTTTCTATCTATTTATCTTCTTTTTTTCTTGAGTATGTTGGTAACTCAGCCATCCATGTTTTTTTATATTAAAAATTCGAACATTCAAATTCCAAACAATAATAAAATAAAAGAATAAGTGGAGTATTAAATAGAAATATAGACAAACTCTGAAGAATAAGTGGGTATTAAATAAATCATTCGTATTTACAAACATATGTACATGAATTAAAAAAAGTCAAAATGATTTTAGTTGAGTAAAAGTCTTTGGGTAGTTGGTTCACAGAAGAATCTGTTGTTTAGAAAAGAATTTTAAATAGTTGGTCTACAAAAAAAAAAACTGTGGTTGAAAAAAAAGACTTTTATCATTAACAAAGATTCTGACTATCTTTGTTGTTGTTATTGTTGGAGATGATTCATTTGAAGTTACCAACTGGCCATCTATGCTGTTGTTAGAGATAATATGTTTGAAGTTGCCAACACAAGTTTCTTTCAGAATTCTCAGGGTCGGGGAGAAACAAGCTATGTATCCATGCATTCTATTGTGTCCAAATATCCAGGAGATAGCTGCATATCTCTTCCTAGAAAGTCAAAATGTACTGTATTTGATGGCATATCAGATGCACAGGTATATAAGACCCACCCCAATTTCAGCAGGACAAATCAAGAAAAAATTAGTAGTTAGTAAAATTAGTAAACCTACTTATGGCATATAAAATGCAGGGGAATTTTAAAAGATATTTTTAGTAAAAAAAAAAAAGTGCACCTTATATGCTGTCAAATATAGTATATCTTTTTATAAGAAATTTTTCCCTGATAGTAAACTTGAGAAAAAAGGTTTTAGTTTTCTCTGATTGATCAAATATTTCACATGTTAATGTTAATTTCTAACCAATAGACATTTTGATTTAAATTTGTAACCTTTTTGAATGTTTTTGACATTTCTGTTATTTAAATTTGGGCATTTTTTAATATGGTATGTATGTATCTGTGTTGGATATTTTATTTCCTATATGTTTTTGTATTATAAGCAATCAATTTCTTTTGTTAATGTTAATTTCTAACCAAAACATTTTGAAAATGGTGTTTTGGGCTTTTTGATTTTTTATTATGTTATTGCATAGAAAATAAAGTTTGGGCATTTTTTTAATATGGTATGTATGTGAGTCTGTGTTGGAAATAGAGTTTATTTCCTATAAGTAAACCAATGCAATATGTTTGCTTGAAATCAATATAAGCAATCAATTTCTTTTGCTATTATAAAAATGATTTTGTTAGCAAAAATGATTACATTTTCTTGTTAATCTGTTATTATTTCTAAGTGCGTTTCTCACAGTTATGAAGGTTAACCAATAAATTTGCAGCCTGATACATTGCTAGTTGCTGAATTTTGATCTGAGATTTTCAATGTATAATGTTCAAATGATGTGATTATTCATTATTAATTTAGGTTTATCAACCATGGATGAAATTATGTAGGAAAATATTTATGTAAAATGTTTTTGTCACCATTAGGCCACAAACTTATTGATGTATCTACATACTTTTGTCATTTTAAAAATGTAAGTTTTCACCTGTCTGTGGATAGGCATTGGTATATGATTGTGGAAATGTTTTTATCAATGATAATTATTTTCTTGTGAAAATAATGTCTGTGAGTTTATGAAACATTTGTTGACTAAATCTTTGTAGAATTTCCAAGAAAGGTGGCCATCATGAAGTGCTTGATTCTCTACCTGAATTGATTGCAGTCACAGACGGGAAATTTGAATTCCTTTTAGATATGCTTAAAGGTGAAATGACCCATGGCCATATTGAACAGGTGAGACTTTACCTTTTTATATTTTGTCAAATTATGAAAAGGATAAATAATTTATGATATCAAATTGTTCAGTCTATGTTTTCTTAAATGGCATCAAAAGGAAAGGTTTTCTAGTAAAGTCAGTGTTCATTAAATTTCTATTAATAAAAAAGTAAAAACTCATTATGCTTCAACTAATATATACAATCTGACCTTTTTAACTTGACATTGTTGGAAACAGGTCACTGCTGGACTACAGAAAATGCAAGATAACAGAAACCCACAAAAAAAAAAAAAAAAAACTATGTATAGATAGTATTTCCAGCTCATTTAATCTAAAATAAGAAAAATCTTAATTGACAACGCCAAAATCCTCTATGAAAACAATTGCAAAAAACGATTACAAATTCTTGAAGCCATCCTAATTAAAAACCTAACATAAATAAAATAGCATTTAATAACAGCAGAAACATCTAAAACATATTTACTGTTATGGTAATTTAACCACACACGCATGGATTCTCCCAGCTATAAATAGGAGCAGGTACTGCCTTTTGGAGAGGGAAGTTTCTAGCAGTCAGCTCTGACAGTCAGACCAAACATTCTTGCTGTAACACTCATTTGTATATGTTTGTATTACTGTTTCTGTTAATATATTTAACTCAGTTCCTTTCTTTGTGTCTTTATTTCTGGCCCTAACAAGGCCACAACACTAACTAATCCTCCAAATAATAAACACCAACCTCCTCCTTATTAATAATGAACTAATCCAACCACATTGTCTAAATACCCAAAATATTATCTTTAAAAAAAGAAAAAAAAAGAAGCAACCTATTTCAAACCAAAACATACAGCCATGATGATGGTTGATGACAACCAAAGGCGCTCAGCAAAATGCCATGGACTAGGGTCTTATTTTAACAACTTGGACCCAAATATTAAAAAACTTTAGAAAGCAAGATAAAAAACTGAAAAAAAGATTATTAAATGGAAAAGTTCTGTAGTTTTTAACAACACATAATAATGACATGCTTCCAATATATATATATATATATATATATATATATATATATTGGTGTTTTTTTTATCAAAGGTAGAACAAAACTTAAAACAAGAAATAAAACAATCATTAAGGCTTCCAAACAAGGTTTTTAGTGTTTCATGCAAAACAAAGACTAAAAAAAAAAGCCTAAACATAATATGTTTACTATTCTGAATGAGCAAATATTCAGCTGTCTATATATAAAATTCTCAGACTTCCCTTAGTCCATCTGTCCGTCGCACCCTCTAAAATAGCCATACATTGACCGATCAAAACCAAATTTGGAGGAGAAGTGCAAACAGGTAAGGGGATACAACGTACAGTTTGTTTTCCTAGAATGTGTAGCTTAATACAATACATTTTCATTATTTTTTGGGGGGAAAAATTAAAATTTTTATTATTTAACATACAAAATACTCTCACTTTAAAAAAAAAAAATATAATGATTAAAATGCAATATTGTTTTTTGCATACTTTTGCTTTAAGTTTTTATATATCAGGTCATCCATAAGTTCTGTCCGAATTTTAACTTTTTGTTAAAATGAACGAAATTTAAAGAGTATTTCATAATGTTTAATGGAGCTGAACATTATTTTTATGTTTAGATGCATTTAAACTGATCAAATTTTATTTCAGAGAACAATAAAATTAAATTTTGTTTGATTAAAACCCTGCTAACATGGAAGTACACAAGAATCATTTGAGGCACATAATGCTTTATGAGTTCAAGAAAGGAAACTCAACAGCCGAAGTGGCTAGAAAAATTCACTCAGTTTATGGAGTGGAATGGAATGAAATAACTGTGAAGATGGTTTGAAAATTCAGAAGATTTCAACTTGAAGATAAAGATTGAACCGGACGTCCAGTTGAGTTTGATGAAAAGCTTCTTGAAGCAGGCCTTGAAGAAAATCCTGCTTTATCAGTTGAGGAATTGGCAGTGGTTCTCAGTTCAAACCATACAACTGTTCATCATCATCTTCAACAACTTGGAAAAGTTCCTAAACTTGGAAAATGGGTGCCTCATGAATTGTCTGAAAACAACCTCAAATCCCGAGTTGAAATCTGCTCTTCTCTCCATTCTCAGCAACTTGTTTCACCATTTTTGGATAGACTTGTGACTGGTGACGAAAAATGTATCTTTTATTGAAATGTTAAGCGTTGTAGACAGTGGCTTGGTAAAAGGGAAGGACCCCAGCCACAGCCAAGAAGGAAATTTCATGGACAAAAGGTTCTTCTTTCAATCTGGTGGGATTGCCGAGGAATAATCCACTTTGAATTCTTACCATCTAATGCAACAATTAATGCTCAAATATACTGTCAGCAATTAGAGCATTTGAACCAAGCTTTGAGGAAAAAAAAGACTTGCTGTAGTGAATGGAAAAGAGGTGATGTTTCATCAGGACAATGCACGACCCCACACAGCAAGAATCACGTCACAAAAGATTGAAGAACTTGGTTGGGAGAAAATTCCTCATCCACCTTATTCTCCCGATCTTGCTCCTTCAGTCTACCATTTGTTTTGTAGCTTACAGAATCATTTGGAAGAAACAGCTTTTGTAACACAGGAAGAGGTTAAAACTGACATTTGTGAGTTCTTCGAATCAAAACCAAAAGAATTTTACAGTAATGGAATTAGTAAGCTTGTTAATAGCTGGAAGGAAGTCATAGATAATCAGGGAAAATACATTGTTGATTGAATCTGTAATTAAATGTTACATTTGGTCACTTTTTTTCTTTATTCAAAATTTGGACAGAACTTATGGGATGGATGACCTGATATATACAGGAATCTAATTTCCAGTTCACCCTGTTGTTTATGTCAACTATAAACACATTACAAGGCCAAATGCTTTAAAAGTTGGACTCTGGCTCTAGAAAGAAATATTTATGCATGACATTTATGCATGTATGTGGCATGCTTAAGAGTAAGAAATCCTGAGTATTTATTCTTCACTGTTAAAAAGGAAAAAAAGAAATTTTCTTAAAAAATATTTTTTACTATGAAGTCCTATAAAATTAAATTAAAGAAATTATTAAACCACAAAGTGGGGGTTTTGTCAAAGTATTTTTCCAAACAACTCCACTTATTCAAATTTCATCTTTTGGTTTGCAAAATTGAATAAAGCATAGAGTTTGTAAATGTTGACAAAAAATGTTAAATTCTAGTATATAAAAAAATGAGCAAAATCACCAAAACACTCTGTTACTGTGGAAAGTTGTAAACAACATATGGTCCTGCCCTTGGACTGATGGCAGATGGTTAAAATAGTGCTACACTCTTGGAGTTGCTGGACTATGGATTACTGGATTAAAAGGATTTGCCATTTCATCTATATATTTTGAAAATCTTGGAAGCTTCCAAATGATTTTTTATGAAATTTTATTTGTAAACTATTAAAGATTCTTAACCCTCTTTCAAAAATGATTATGGGATTAACTGCTTTTTGCTGCTACCATAATGTATGGGAGAGTGGTTTTCTCAAGTGCACATTCACCTACTGTCTCCTGTATAATATATCATGGCATGCCAGTGAGGTGACATTTTATACAGATATCTTGTAATGGGACTTTGTATTATTTCATGAGTTCAGACATTCACTGCTAGGATACTCCATGCTACTTCTGCGGAGCTGAATCACCCTCATTTCCTCTGTGTTTCAAATGTAAGGAGAACATTCCACTCAGATGGTTTTTTCCAAAGAATTGCCACTTTGTGGAACAAACTCCCATGTGGGTATTTCTCTAAACATTACAATCTTAACCACTTTCATTCAAGGATCAATTATTATCTATCCTTCTTATCCTCATAATTTTTCCTTCCTACCATGTTCTCTTTCATTCATATCACTACCTCATTCATATTAACCATTTTAACAGTAACTCTATCTTGAGTGGCTCCCGAGCCTTGTATTGGGTAAACTTGAATGCAAAAATAAAAAAAACAAAAAAAGCATTTAAATTTGATAGTATTTTAAAGAAAAAGAAAAAAGTTAGAATTTTTTTTAAAAGAAAACTTTTTCAAGATAAGCAAAAATTGAAAATTTTCAAAATTGCACCTGCAATTTTAACAGATAATATCTCCCCTGGGTGGAAATTTAAGAACATGTAAGGCAGACCCCAAAATGACAAATGATACATGAAATGCAGTGTTAGAGTATTTCTAAAAATGGATCTGAAAATCACCTACCAGAGAACATTAACTGTAAATCTGATGCCATTTTAAATTCCCCAAATTCTTAAACATAAATTATTTAAATGTTTCTCAAAATTAATGGTTCCAAGAACTGAATTAAGAAATTGTTTCATGAGTTTTTCTTATATATATATAAATTTGGGAATGGTATGAATCCTCTTCTTCTCCCCCACCCAACTATGGGTAAATAGCAGGACAGACTGGGTTCTTTAGCCTTGGATGGCAACTGGTCTAGGAGGAGGAGAACTCTGAATTCAAAACCTGCGGAAGGTTATTTAAGGACCTTGTGGCATGTGGTGCACCAGGTCTCTGTATTCAGCTGTTCAAAAAGTGTGGTTGCCTCTGCACAATGCCATCACCACTATAAGTAAATCATATGTACAGGTGTCTGGCTGTCGGTTCCTAGGAACTGAGTTGCTTGACCCTCATGCATCAAAAAACGATGGGAGAGTTCAACATATATATATATATTTTACAAATGTAAAAAATACAGGGGACAGAAACTGCAACACTGAAATCCAAAGGTGCATTTGGATAGTTAAAGATGCCTTCCAAAGGCTAAGTAATATATTGAGAAACAGAAAAATTTCATTAGATGTAAAGAAAAGAGTATTGAACTGTTATGTAGTATCAGTCATCTTATATAACAGTGAATGCAGGACAATCTTCTCAGAGATGAAGAAGAGACCCTGAGATAAAAGAAATGTGGTTCTACAGAATGATGCTGAGAATTCTATGGAACAAACATGTCAGCAATGACAAAGTCTTAGAGAGACTTATACTTAACATCAGAAAAAATAGTTGAAATTTCTGGGGGACATAATGAGGAAAGACGGCTTGGAAAATTTGATACTCATATTGAAGGCAAGAGGGACAGAGGAAAATAGCATATAACCTACCAAGCAAACTTAAATGGATAGCAGAATTATGTTTAGGAGAGATAAGAAAAAGACAAAATTTATTAAGAGCTATAAAAAACAGGAAATTGTGGAGAGTCGTGATCGCAAACGGGATATGGCACATAGAAGAAGAAAAAGAAGAAATGTAATGAATATTATGAAATACTGATGGCTGATTTTTTTCCTTTTTTTTTCTTTTTACTTTTGCTTTTTCTGTTTTCTCTTATTTCTGAGTTTAAGTTGCATATTAACAACGGATTATGCAACATAAAATTAGATTCTGCTTTAGCACATATATCTGTACCTTTTAAATTGATACCAAGATAAAAAGCTCAATTCTAAAGATAGGGTCAAAAAAATTGCCTCCAGAAAGAGATTTAGGGATCAAATTTGTAATTCAGTCTCTTAAATTTAAATTTAAAATTTTTTTTTTTTAAATCCAGTGATAACATAAGCCTTCTGAAATGAAGTCTTGTATCAAACGATATAAAATCTCATTTGTAACTTCAGAGGCTTTCAGAATATAGCAAAAATATTATTCTTACTTTTGGAAATTTTTGAAAACTTTATGGAAAAAAACACTGCAAATATTTATTTTTTGAATGTATTATTAGCTTGTTTTAGAAATTGTTTTTTTGTGACATTATTATACAGAATTTTTTCTCCATTACTAATACACTAAGTTGTTTGAGAATGTTGGTCCTTGTTTCATATATTTTTGGACAACTATCTGTTTTTCCATGATAACATTTTTTTGGCTGATATACACCTTAAATAATTTTGTAGAATGAAGTACTTTGAATCAAACTTAAATTTCACCTTTATACTACCAGAGCTTGCTATAACATGTCACAATGCCTACAGTGCATTAGTTGTTGAAAACACAGTATAGTCAATAGGAGTTTTTTTTTTTTATCTTGCAAATTAACTACAAATTTGATAAAAAGCAAGGATGAGGATATTAGTTAAAAGAAAATATGTGAAATAATAAAACTTTCTGATTTATTTTTATCTGTTAAAAAAAAATAATCTGCCATGTTTCCCCTTGGCTAAAATAAAGTTATGTAGCATTGACACACATAATATTTTGTTGTGATATACATTCATAAATAATAATAAAGTATTAATGCTTTATGTTTGCATTTCTTGCAAATTTACATTGTAAATAACTGTTGTGATGAGATAACCCAACCTCCCCATTCACGATAATGGACGTTCTGGTGGCCGATAAAGTACGACCACAGTAAACAGTAGGGAGCGACAAAAAAGAAGGTCTTTGTTTACTAACACCATTGCGGTTAGCTTACTCCTACGCTGTCTCTGTATTTTGACATACCTACATCCGATTATAAAATTATTATTGAAAACCACACTCGGGTTTACTTTGTTTATTATATCTTGTACGAGATATAACAATAACAAATGTTGTTGTTCAGCAATAGTTCTTTGATGAAACATTGATAATTATTCCTTTTTTGTCTTATCCTTTTTCTGTTGCTTTTGATTGTAAATCCTGGATTATCATTCTGTGGTTGTTATGTAAGCAACTGGGATCAGAAATATAAAAAAAAAAAAAAAAAATTCTGGTGAGATTGGATTTACACAGACCTCTAAGAATTATAGATATGAATTCAAATCTTATCCAAGGCCTATTTCTGATTCACATATTACTTGTTTAATAATAATAGAATGATCAACTGGAAGTTGCAATAAAAAGCAACAAGATGAAACCAGGTTCCCCCCCCACCAACAGTATTTCATTCATTTTTATTTCTCTTGTCATTGATTGACTTTTTCATTAGAATGAAATTAAACAAGATTTACTTAAAGATTATTTTAAAGGGCTTATTCAAAGATTAAACAAGAATGAATTAAAGATTAAACAAGATTTTGGTATCAAAGAATTTTATTTAATAATTGTTACACTTACATTCACATTTTATACATTAAATATAACAATGAAAGAACAGATTTGTCTGCAATTAAATTTATTTTTATTTAATCTTCATTAGTTTTTCTTTTTTTTTTTTTTGGTGATGTTTGAGGAACTTTTTCCAAAATAAAATGAAATCATATTTGTCACTAACTTTGGATATAAAAACAAAATGGTTGATAATTTAAAAGCATCAGCTGAAAAATGCAAAGCTGAATTTATATGACAGCTTGAAGTTTAATTACAAATTCAGATTTGAAGCCACAAGATTATTTCTGTTCATTTTCAGGTGTACCAAGTGCTCACAAAACTGCCACAACTGGAAGTGAATTTGAAAGTGAAAAACTCCAATTCAGAAGGATCTGGCCAAATTGAGTCCATTCCTGTGCTAATATCAAAATCAGGTAAAGTTACTATTTAGAGTACAAGATGTTATAATGAGCATTTGGTTGTGAGAGGAAAGGAATAACAAGGATTAGGTTTTTAAACAATGTCTATTCCTTTAATGTACACAATATATTACTATTATTGGCAAATTGGAGAAAAAGTCAATTTCACTTGCAGATGATCAAGAAGGTAATTAGATGTAGGGGTAGTGATGGGGGTTGACTAATTTCTTGGGTTGGTTTGACCAAAATCATAGGATGGGTCCAGGTTTTACTGCATGGGTATGCCTGTTGATCAATCATGCTCACGGTGGCAGGTTGATTTGTGGTAGGGTGTGTTGCCTGCCAAGGTGACAGCAGTAGTGATGAGGGATTGATGTAGCTTGTAGAACAGTGGAATGTTCAGTTTGATTTGAGTTGGATGTTGTATCAATGAAATGGAGTTGTGGTTGTGACTGTAAGGGTATGTCTGTAGCAAGTTGAATTGCCAAGATGACAGCAGTGGTGATGAGGGATTAGTGTAGCTGGTAAGGCCTGTGCTGGAATGTTTCACTGCTGAGGTATGATATCACAATCATGCTTTCAGTCACCAAGCAAGTACATGGTCGATCCTTATGGCCAGCTTTTGAGTTGGTTGCCCTGATCCTCAATCACACCCCGCTCATGCTGTGTTTGTTTTAGATCACAGGGTGGGTGAAGCCTGAGTTGTACACTTAATGTTGCTGATCTGTAAGCTTTGGTGAGATAATGTCACAAGGAACAAAGTAAAAGACAGCTGTGCAACATAACCTTTTTATCAAAGGTTCATACAATGAACATTCTACTCACTAAATTATCAATATGAAGATTTTCAGCACCTTCTCCCTTAATAATCTGTGGCACTACGTTTAGCCACACTTGATAAACTGGTACAAGGCTGAAGTCTGATTTCTTCGGGCTGACCGTTCAGTTGTATTTGATAGTCTGAAACAAGGCAAGAGTCTAAGTTCTTTCTGCAGAAGCTGCACAGGGTTTGACAAAGTGAGTCTTAAACCAACTGGTAACGCATCTCTCTCACAAACAGCACCTCAAGGTGTCTGTTTCCTCCTTCTTGTCTCTTGTCTGTATTTATGTACCCTCATACAAACTCAGTGCAGGGCATGAGGGGTGTTGGAAAATTGATTGCCTGACCAAATTTGAGGAGATCCCTCTTGCGAAGAGTGGTGGTGGCAAAATATCAATCTGCCCAATTCCTTCCATCTTGTATGGTTACCTCTCACATGACCGCCTGAAGGGTGCAGTCAATTCCTTCACCTTCCTTGAAATTCTACTTGAGCCTTTACCTCTCTCTTTATCTCCTGATCAAACCTGTTCCCAGAGGCTATATTTTTTTTTATATATAATGGTCTATATAATATTTAATTCTTTGATTTTTCAACTTTAATATTACCATGTTTTACTGCCCATTCAATATAATAAGTACTGTATTTTTACTTCAAAATATATATGAAAATGTTTTCATTACACTAGAGGCCCCGTTAAGAAAGTTCAGATGTATAAATTTTTTTTTTAAATCTTGAAGTTCCTTAAAAAAATTTTGTGTTAAATATGTCTACTTCAAAGTATCTAAACCTTGTACTTTCAACAGAATGGTGGAGGTGTCTAATGTCTCAATTTTATCTAGACATGAATTAATAACCCACCTACACCTACATTCTAACCTTATTTTTCATTTTAGCTTTGATCTGTCTTTTGATTGGTTAATCAAAACATGCCCACAAATGTGTTTTTTAATTTTGGAATTCTCCCCTCCTCTTTTTAACTTTCAAATAAGCTACCGAATTGTTTTCTGATTTCCCAAGTAAATCATTTTCATCATAAGTTATCTAACATTGCCTGAGGAGGGAAAATTTTAAAGTTCCGAAACATGGAAATTTTTTGTGTAGCTATATATATATATATATATATATTCCTAAAGATTTAATAGATTTTATTTTTTGCTAGCCAAATTACCCATGCCTTGCTGTGTGTCCCAGATTTTTTTTTTTTTGTAAGAAAATGATGATTGATTTTAAATCATTCTTATAATTTATGGAGAAAAATGATGCATTTCAATATTAGTCAATGACCTTGCCGATGTGACCTCCATCTTCTGGCTTTCATCTATATTTTGGATAGGAGTCATTCCCTTGTTTAAATTTAATTTCAATCAAAGGGAAAAAAAAACTTTCAGTGATGGGGTTTGTGCAAAAACAGCTTGATCTGACCCCTTTGACATTTAATATACATATGCAAATGTGCAATATTTAATTGAATGAATTGATGAGCAGATTTCAAATTTGATATGACAGTTGAATTGTCACAACAAATATGTATTGTAAGGCACTACCTACTGATTGGTGATTTTTTGCTGAACTTTACATCCATATTGTCTCATTTTGATTTTGCTGATGTGACCTCCATCTTTTGGCTTTCTCCTATATTTTGGGTAGGAGTCATTCCCTTATTTAAATTTAATTTAAATCAAAGGGTGAAAAAATTTACTGTGCGGGTTTAGTTCCCTCCGGGGAACCCCTCTGATCAAAATGATCTTGCCAATGTGACCTCCATTTTCTGGCTTTCTCCTTTTATATTTTGAATAGGAATCATTCCCTTGTTCAAATTTACATTTAATTTAGATCAAGGGGAAAAAAATTCAGTGGAGGTGGTGTGCTCCCTGGGGACCCCTTTTGATCAAAATGAAATATACTTATCCAAGAACCCTAGGAGTCATTCCCTTGTTCAAACTTAAATTTAATTTATATCAAAGGGAAAAAAAAAATTTTCAGTGGGGGGGGTTTGTGCATCAGTTAAAGAAAAGGTTTACTGAAGAAAAGCCTGGCATAAAAAGGAAGAACCTATGCAAGTATATGATATTTTTGACATACCAACACCCCCAAAATTCATTGAACCTACAATTATGATTACTAGAAAAAGAAAACATGAAAAAAAAACTAGAGTTTGACCCAAAACGAAAGAAATACAAAGTTCAGTACATTGGTGAACTTGCCTGAAAGATATAAAATATTTACTAGTGAAAAAAAAACACAAAATCTCAAAAGAGTGGATATTGTGGAATAACTAAGATATCCCCGGTAACACAAAGGAACTAGGCAAAATGCCTTAAATAAAGAACTCAAAGTGAGACAGTAGAAGTCCATTAGTTTCTCTTGAGGAAAATTGCTGATGATATCCCGGTAAGTAGTCTAAGTGGGACATAATATTATAACTTCTAACTTCTAGGAGTGAGTTACAACACACAGTAATATCATTAGAATGATGAAAGACAAAGTTTTGTCTGTGCAGAAAGGGTGAAAAATAATTCATCACCCACAAACTAATAGAGAAAAAAACTCAGAGATCTACTCAGAATAAGCTAATTTCAAATCCAGCAGATATTAATGGCTTCAATAAAAAAAAAAGAAAGAGATTCTAATGCCCTTCTCTTATGCAAGGGTCTGTGTCTCATTCTGACCTGAAGATGCCTGACATCAAGAGATGAAACACATTGTTTGAACAATTTTTCCGCTTGTCACATTATCTGCATAGAATAGATATTTATATCCGATAAATGTAACAGATATTATGGGACAGGTGTAGTATCAATTTTGTTATATAAATATTGGATGGCAGAATTATTGATTCTATGTCCACTCATAGCAAATCGTATTTGCTTTAAGATATATTGATTTGAAGAAGAAGTGACAGGATTGTCATTTCTATATTGTTTTTATTACTTTTACTCTTTTTTGTTTTTACACTAATCGTGATCGGTACTTTTCACTGCAGCTTTTCTTAATGCTCTTGCACTCTCTACCGTATTTTAGTTGACGTTAGTAATATAGTAAACAGTGGAGTAATAGATAGCGGCTTAGACTGAGGGATCAGAAAGCCGAGTTTGTTGCATTTACTTATGTGCAAGTACCCTTGGGAAAATTATGAATCTATCTCTTCTTCCTCCAGCTATGGGTAATTAGCAGAACAGATTGAATCTTATAATCTTGGGTGGCAACCACCCTAGGAGAAGGACAACTGAATTCAACATCTCCAACTATGGGGTAAATAATCTCACCAACCCACAATTGGCCAAATGTAGAGAGTACAGCTACACTCCTGAAGATATGGTCAATCAGGGAGAAGATCCTCCAACAGGTGAGAAGTCCCTGGATTGGATTGGATAGTAATACTTTTGTTGGGATTGTGTTGATTCTGCAAGGGATTTCCAGTTATAACAACCTCTTTTCTAAGGTTCATCATGACTCTTGTAAGTGTTCTGATTATGATCATTAGGTGCTTAGCTTTCTGACCCTGATTCCAGGTTCAAATCTCACCATGATGTTTGTCAAGGAGGTAACTTTCTGATTATATTGGCCTGGAGAAATGACCTTAGTGTAGGATACATTTGGGGAGTGCTTGAGAACCATGTCAAAAGCTGACCTGAGCCTTGTAAGTGAAATTGGGTAGATGTAATTGTTTGGAAGCTGTCCATGTTTGCACTGAAATGAAGTTGTGACACTGAGACCATGAAGGGGTTAAATGTTAATTATGATCCGGAGGAGCCAGGAAAGGGTTAAGCCTAAAATGAATTAGAAGCTGGAAGATAGAGGGGGTGGAGACATTTTCCTTGGTGATATGAAAGTGGAAAGGAGCTATCTGGCTCTCAAAAGTTTATTTTTCTATCGAGAATTGAACAATCAGGTAAAACAGATTGAGAAATAAATTTATCTCTTCCTTGAGAATTTAAGCAAACAAATATAATTGGCAGAAGAGAGATAGACCTGGGCTATATTTTTGGAGATGAAAACAAATTAGGTACAGTTCATACGTTCAGGTTACATAAAGCTCTTCCTGAATATTCTGAGTGTTTTAATAATTATCAGTTCTTCAAGTTGAAATGTATTTTTCTATCTTTTTATTTTTAATCTGCTTTTTGACAAATTTTCTTTTTTATGATGACTTTCATCATTATTATTTTTACCTTGTAACAGATTCCAGTCATCTTTCAAGAAAATGGATAAAAGTATTTACAGATCAAGAATATACACTCCAAGTGAAATTAACAAGGATTAATAAATCTGGGGTAGGTATTAAAAATCTATTTTCTATGCAACTTTAAAAATATCAACAATTTTTTTATTTGGGATGCAAGAAGCACATGGCTACAATTTAAAGTTAATATTTGTTTTTTTTTTTAATTTATGTTCAACACTGATAATTGTTTAGAAAAATATAGTTTATTGAAAAAAAAAAAAAAAAGATTTTATTTTAATACAAAATTTGTTGGACTAAGATAAATGTCCAGGACATCTCATTATCTTTTCACTATCTCCACCTACAGTTCTCTCTTAAAAGCTTGGCTTTGAGTAGTTGTATTTTTTTTCCCTCTGGTCACATGTAACATACCAGTCTGAGGCTGCTAGAGTAATCCTTTGATTGTTGCTGTCACATTCTTGGGCTGCTGTGATTCATTTTCCTGATTGCAAAGGTCTAGACGTGTTGCCACACTCCTCTGATCTGAAAGTTTTAGTTTGAGATTTTTATATTAGTTTTATCAGCCTATTCTTCTATGCTGTCTTAAGGCAGTTTGGAAGAGGATATCGTATCATGACACCAGAGTTGGAAAGATTGTGGAGAGAAGATGGAAATAAACACCAAGACAATCATCAAATGACAAAAAATCATTTCCGAGTCGGAGGCTTCTTGCATCCTTCCAGTTAATAAATTAATCCTTTGAAAATAAATATTTAACATTCAAGTAATGGGTCACATTCCTGCCGAAAATAAAAAACGTGTTTCATGATCCTTTTGAAGAGTATTTAAGCAAAATCTCTAGACAGAAAAAACCAGTAAGGAGATAGAGATGAATACATGCAAGAACATTGTATGACAGAGGCTTCAAAGAGATTCCTTTACTCATCTTGCTCACTAAGCTATGTGACACTTACACTTTCCTCCTCACTTTCTCAAACATACATGCAAAGAAATCTTTTCATCATAACAAGCAACTAAAAATGAGGATACATGCTGAGAAAAATTTAGTTGTAAAAACACGAAAATAAAAATATTTTATATTTAAAAAACTTTCCTGCCTTTTTCGTTGTTGTGTGTTGATTCAGATGTGCAACGAGATGTATACATAAGCAAATTTGAAGGTTTTTGTCCTTCATGCCATATATTAATCTGCAATTTATACATTGATGATAAAGTTTTTTTATATAAGAGATTTTCCTTCTTGTAGATACACTGGCTAAGGCATTCCAGTGACCCCATTAGGATCCCTATTTAGTAAGAAAAGCACTCACAATGGCTTGCAGGATCTGCATGATAGTCACCATTCTGAAATATTTGCTCTAGACATACAAATTTTGTCAGTTGAAATATTTGCTCTAGACATACAAATTTTGTCAGTTCATCTTGGATGTAAAGCATGTATCACATCAATTGTTTTCACATCAATCCAGAGCTGCTGATCCGCTCTCCTTATTGTGAAGGTCCGGACACCCCTGACACTCTGGTCTAGAAATCTTTGGGTTGATATTCCCATGTTAGTTTTATCAGCTGTTAATGCTTTAAAACAGCAGCAGCAACTTCACCTCATATGGTGATTTTCTAAGTATAGCTTAGATGTGGTGCAAGGCCAAAAGTCCAGAGCACCAACTGAGAAGTGAACTCACTACTCAGTCATAATTGATCTTGTGAGACAACTGGCTAACCATTATACCAAATCTAAGGGCTCAAAATGATTTTGTAGCCATTGCTTGTATGTCACATGAGGCTGAAAATGTAGAGCACCCAGTGAGGATTGAACTCACTACTCTGTTGTAATTGATCTAGCAAAACAAGCTGGTTAACCGTTATGTCACATCAAAGTGCCCAAATGATTTTCTAAGTAACTTAGATGTGGCACAAGGCCGAAAGTTTGCAGTACCCAGTGAGGATCAAACTCACTACTCAGTTATAATTGATCTAGTGAAGTGTCCTCTCACTTGATTAACACATTTTAATTTGCATCAGATGTTGGTGAAATCTAAGTATATGAAAACTAAGACAATATTTAGCCAGATCTATTTTGCTTGGATTTTTTTTGATTTTTAAATTATTATTTATTTATTTTATTTTATTTTTTTAGAAATCTGATTCAAAGGCATATTCTCCCAAATTTCCTAAAGTCAAAGATGAAGGCTGGTTTCTGGTCATCGGTGACATTGAGAACCGAGAACTGATTGCATTAAAGCGTGTTACCTGTCAAAGCAACCAGAGTCATCCGCAAGTTGCATTTTTTACACCTGAACTATCCGGGCGTGTCATCTATACTTTGTACCTGATGAGTGATTCTTACCTGGGAATAGACCAACAGTTTGACATTTGCCTTGATGTTATACCTTCACCACCTTTGGCAGAGTCTAAAATCAATTAGAATCTTTCATATCAAAGAATTATTATATCAACTCAAAATGAACAAACTTGGATCATTTCTTGATTTAACAGGCAAATGAAAAACATCAAAATCACTTTAAAAAAATGAATATATTGTAATCATTTTTTTTTTATCAGACAAAATCTTTCACCTTTCCTGTTGCTTTCTAATATTTACAGCTGATTCTTTGGATTTTTAATTTAAATTTCATGAATTCAGAACAAAGAACTAGACTTTGCTTGAATTGCACAATTTAGAAAGTCTGAAGAATTTGTTAGTCTATCAGACGTTTTAATAGCAGGTAACATGAAAGATGAGGATATTAGTCTAGCAAAAATGGTTAGTGAAAATATGTCATCTAAAACTCCAGATAAATTTATCATATTTTTAAGAAAAAGAAAACCAATTTCAACATTGGAATATATTTCATGTAATTTTTGAGGTGAGACTGCTTTAAATATTTTATGTTCAAAGTTTACTGTAAATTTATGAGGGCAGTGCTGAAACATTCTCAACCACCACCATCGATGTTCCCAAGATCAATGTTCTGATGTTTGGTCACTTGGTAAATGGTGGTGGGGCAAGGACTTTTCACCACACCCTAATATAAACATCTGAGTTGAATTTGTTGAATTAATACTTTGTTTTTTTTTTGTTTTTTTTTCCTTTTTTGGATATTATAAATTGGTTTGTTATTCAAAAATGTAATTTGTGTTTCCATAAAAGACGTTGCTGCAATTTTAAAAGCTGCTTCATTGTCATTCTTTTTGGGTGAATTATGTAAAATTGTGGGTTCAGTATCTTGAAAATTCTGCTGTATGAAGCTGATCACAATTTTAAAGAAATTGTTGTTGAAAGAATAGTCTCATCTTTTGGACAGCACCTCTCCATTGCACTAAAATGGAAAGGGCTTGAATATTTTTTCCTGTCTAAATATTTTGGCAATTTGCTTATTCTATCAAAATGGGTATGTAGAATTAAAGGAGAATAAAACAAAAAAAAGCCAGAAACTGATTTAAAAATAAGAGTAAAATCGTTTAACATTCTTTTATATTTTTTAAATTTTTTAAACTTTTGTCATGAATTGTTGTGAGAATGAACAGGACTTGATAGGAAGGGGTCATTCTTAATCAAATAATTCTTTAACCGTGGCCCTCCCCAACATTGTTTTCTTTGATTTTATATATATATATATATATATATATATATATATATATATATATATATATTAGCTAACAAATATAAATTAGTTCAGTCAAGCACTGTGGGGAAGAAGCATGTATTTGTAAACAGTGACTGTTACTGCTAATAATACAAGACTCTCCCAATGGATTGAGTCCTCTAAGTCACTGGCTTATTTATGAAAAATATAAATATGCAAAAATTTTCCTTTCTCTCTGACAAGCATCGATAGTCTAGGGGTTAAAGTGTCCAACTGATACTAAATTGGTTCTGTTTTGGTCCCACCTTGAAGCTGTGATACTTGCAAAACAGTCTGACACACACATATATATATATATAACTGGCCACTTGTATTCGAAGATACTACTAGGGTGGATAGTGAATCTCTATAGCAGACACCTACTCTGTGGTTTATACTGCAACTATGCTGAGCCAACCTTAGTTACAGTTTCTGAGAAAGAGTATGTTATCTAGTGTTATCAACAATTTTTCCAAAAGGTGAAATCAATGCAACAGTTTCTTCTAAATAAGTACTCGGAAAAGCTATTTTTTTTTTGTATGGAAACATTTTTTAATAAGACAATCAGAAGAACCTGATACCTTTGTATGGCACTCCTAGAAGAGGTTTCCTCCATATTGGTTGATCACAAAACTGTGTTGGGTAGGTGTCGTCTTGGGGATGGATCTTTGATAGACTAGCAGATGTTTGCTTTTGAAGTTTGGTCTTCTAGGCAGCAACATCCACTTTGTCCAAAGGGTAATGCAGAAGTGAATAGGGTATATCCAGGTACTTGTCTGTATTAACAATTGTTCTTGGGATTGGGGAGACTTATATGTACAACATGCAGTTTCAAAATATCCATTTTGTATTGCCAGCCACCATATCAGGATGAGTAGATTGGCAAGTAGTTGGTGGAAGGAAGAGATGACATAGCAGAAGTTGTCCCAAGTAACAAGATTAGCAGGCAGAGCTCTGAATATTGGTTTGGTTTTGTTTGTTTTACGGCATATCAACCTCAAAAGGTTATTTAATGCTGAAAAGATTTTTATTGCTGGTAATATTTTTTTAAAAAATGTACTGCTGGTAATAATTTTCAATCTTCAAGAATTCATTGCTGGTAATAATTTTTTTTACAAAATTCTATTTTTACACTTTCATAGTGTTTTGACCCCAGTTTGGGGGGTTAACTATTTGCCCATAGCTGAGACCCTGACAGGTGCTACTACCCTGGGTCAGGGTGGACCTGGGAACACCAACAATTCAGACGTATTTCTATGCTCCTCAAAACCTCTCAATCTAGGCCTTGGATATAGTTTATTGTCTTACCCAGGATAGAGCTCTGAATAAAACATCTACATATGATATGGAGAAACAGGGTTTGCATTCTTATTTTTTGATCTTACCCTGTGAGCTTTCAGCGCATACTGGTGAGATCGAGAAGCAGAATGCAACATGGTATAATCATTGTCCCATCAGTGGTAAGCTTGTGTCGTATGTTTCTGAAGGAAAAGTAATATTCTATTCAACAATTCTTAGATATTAGTAAAGACATTTGGCTGAACTGACAATGAAATGTTATTGCATGAAAAGCAACAAGGCTCCATGTTACATGTGAAATACAACCTTTATATAAAAATAGAATTTAGAATATATTAAAAACAAAGTTGCATATGTTGCTAAGTAAGTTAACACACTCACTGTGAATAATGAGTAAAGAGAAAAGCAGACAAAGGAAAAAAAAAGACAAGTTTTAAATCCCAGGTGAAAAACTATCTCTTGAGTAAAGTTTGCCTGCTGATTGGGAATTCAGTTCTTGTTTTAATTTTCCATTTGTATGTAGTTATATGACATTTTATATGTAAGGGAGCAGATAATTATTTTTGTTTCTTAACACTACTGATAAAAAAGAGAGAGAGAGAGAGAGTGTGTGTGTGTGAGTGTGATGATATTCCATTAAAGTTTGTAAAACTTTTTTTTTTATTAACAACAAAAAAATGGGATATCTAAGATTTCATTTTTAAAAATTCATTTTAAACCTTTCTAGAAACTTTTATTTTAGTTTTAATTTCAAGCTAATAGATTAAATTTAATATTTCCAGTAAGCAAAATACTTTGCCGTATCTTACAAACTTATTAAAATTGATAAGGAGTTTTTTTTTTTTCTAAAATAGCTGAATAGCGAATTTTTTTAGTTGTCTTTCATTGAAATGTAGTTCACTTTATTAAAAAAAAGTCATCCAAAAATAAAATATAGTTTTCTGAAACTTTATTTGAGGGACATTAGCTTATTTAAAGTATAATTAATCTGATTTGAAACAAATATTATTTACTTTAAGTTTAAAATATCACAAAAATGCATTTTTTAACACAGTGGTAGTTGTTTATTTATGCTGTTGACATATTTGATGTTTAACTAATGTTTTTCTATGGAAGCTTTGGAATATAACGTATATCCCTTTTATATATAATTTTTAAGTATTCAGTAATCTTAGAAATTTAATATAGTATTCTCTGTAATTTCATTGAATTTTAGATACTTTCTGGCTTTAAATTTACTATAGTTATTGCTCTTATTTTCTAATAATTGCATATATGATCAACTATATCTACAAAAATCAGCATGTTTATACACATACAAAAATATTCAAAATCCTTTTAAAAATATTAGTTTTTGATAATTTGTACTAAGCTTTTTCATTTATGATTAGTAAATATAGTTTTTACTTAATAGTAATATGATGCAAAAGGGTGAAATTAATATAGAATTTTAAGTTTTAAAACTTTATAAATTATAATTAAAATGTAAACAATTCTTATAAAAAGTAATTATTCATTGAGATTTTTTCTTAAGACAATAGTATCCTTATAAAAGCATTCAGAGCAGATTTTCAGTAGATGGTGTTTCTGTTTGAAAAAAAAAATTGATTTAAATTCTCCAATGAGTCTTGCTTTTACTAATATAGATATGAAAAGAGTGGAATTTTAACTTTGAGAAGGGGGTAACAGATGTAATAAGATTTTCTAAAAATGAGAATTTCAAAAATAATTTCATTTATTTGTGGAGAGGTCCTGAAAATTTTACAATTATTTAATTTTTGCAAGAATTTCCAAATAAATGTGTTTCTACCAAAAAAAAAAAAAAAAAATAAAAAAAGAATAAATTTCCGATATTAATCTTTGGCTTACCCGCTGACACGAAAAAAAAAATTTCACCAAATTTTCGAACGTGCTAGAAAGAATTGAAAACTTAAATAATCAAAAAAATACTTTGATCTTTTCTGATAATAATAACAACAAACATTTTTTGCCGATAAAACTTTATATCAAACTTGCGGCCTTTTTCATCATGGTATGCTTTTTTAGCGAATTTTTGCAGGTACCTATTTTTTTCGACACAATTTTTTGTACGCAAACCAAGAATAAATATAAATTATAAATGTGTATAAAAAGAAGGAATCAATGAAAAAATTTACTACATAAGAAAGAACGGGTAATTAATGAGGTCAGTTTTGAAATCTCTCATTGCTCTAGTCTATGTTCTGTGTAAATTACGATGAAAAGCAATTGAAATTAAGAAATACTAATAAAAAAACTGATAATGGACGACAATGCTTCAACTAATGGAAATTAAAATAAAATGTTTGATAATAACGATTACTTTGTTTAATCCTGGCGTAAGGTACCTTGACCGATTTAGTAGTAAGGTAAGCCTTGTAAGGGAGGTAACACGCGTTTAAAATTTGCAGTTACCTCCCTTATAATATACGTTTTCCTATCTGAAAGTTTGAGTTTCAAAATATTTTTCGAAACAATAAAA